TGGTCCTCCTCATATACTCAGTTTTCCATACTTTTTATCGTACTGCTTGAAGATGTTTTGATACTTCTTATATAGTTTACACCATGACAAGTTATAGATGAAGTTAGCATTTTGTTCCAGTACAATGAATTTTTAATGGTAGGGATTATGTATTGCCATGTATTGCCATACTTCCAGAATGCTTGTTAAAAGCTGATAATTAAGATAAAATAAAATTGACTAATTGTAAAAAATAAAAATGTGTGAACACCTGTTTAATTTTTGCTGTAGATTATAGTTTTACCTGACAAGTTGTTGTTTATGATTTTAATTAAAATCTCAATGTTTTAATGAAGGAAGTGAGAACAGGATTCTGTTAGAAGAATGTTTTTTTGCCACAGTTTGCTTAGTTTGTATTAATTGAATTTTCCAACTGTTTACATGAAAATTGATAGAATGAACTTGCACCAACTCCCTGAAGAATATTCATACATAATGAAACAGAATATAGTTGGGATACAAACATGAATTTACCTTCAATTACTCAATAAAATTGAACAAACTTGAAATAAATGATTTCCAATAACTGACTGGTTTCTGTTCTGATTTGGATGGTAAATCACTAACTTTTAAAGGGCACTCAGTCAAATGTCATCCATGTTTACAAGGCTGGGTGCGTGTGATAGTCAAGAGTTCAGAGGTTATATGTATATGCATCACAGTCTGTCTTTTGTATGGTGAACAAATAAACTCAAAAATTAAAATAATCTGAACACTTGATGTTTTCCAGGAATATATTGTGTCATTACATGTATAATAATACTTAAGTTAAGAAGTTTTGATTTAAAGGATATATTAAAAACAACTCTTTCTGTCACGTAATTTCAATGATCTTGTTATGCCCCCATTCTACCAGTGCAGGTATATTTCAATAACCTTTTCATCCAGTTCTTCTCTTGCTCATCAATACAAATATTTCATCACACTTTTCACGGAAACTACTCAACAGATAGGCGTCATATTTGGTCAGCAGGTTACAAGTGTTAAGTGTGAGCACTTTAAGGATCTGTTACATACCCACTTCCTGATTGCAATTACAGATACTTTAAATTAGAAGTGGTTGAGGCTTAGCACTATGACTTATACATTCTTGTTATTTTGTAAATTCACATGGTGAGCAAAGTTCAGAACAAGGAAATTTCCGATTCTTTAGATTCTGTAAAACCAAATTGTGAGTGATTGATTGATTGATTAACACCACTTTCAGCACTGTTGGGTACTTCTCGGCAGTTAGTTTTTATTGGCGGTGGAAGCCGAAGTGCCCTAAGAGTTTCAACCACAACCTTTGGTAGGAAAACTGACAATCCTAGTCGATTGTAATTGTGAAATGTAACACATATTTAGTAGATACATTTGTATGAATAATTTATAAAGTGTCAAGTATGTGTTGATTGTTTATAAACTTGAGTTCATGTAAATGATGTAAGTGAGGAGAGTGTTTCCCACTTAAAGTCTGGACCCATTGTTACCATATATATATGGTACTAGTATACTGATGAGAGTGTTTCCCACTTAAAATCTGGACCCATTGATACCATATGGTACTAGTTGTATACTATTACTAAGGGGAATTATATGGGTTTTCACCGAGAATTCTTTCAAACTTCATTGAATTATTACAAACAAGTTCATACCACTCTGTATTATGGTGCATGTCATTTTGTCTTTGAATCTGTTTTGAGCTTACATGGAAATAAATGGAGCAAAACATCTTGTACAGTAATAGATTTAAATAGAACCCAATGAAAAAATATGTCAAGCTCTAAATTGTCATGACTTATAATAGAATGGTTAAAAAATAGCTCAGTATTAATTACCTCCCTATATTTCTAATGTCAAGCTCTCAATTGTCATGACTTATAATTATAGAATGGTTAAAAAATAGCTCAGTATTAATTACCTTCCTATATTTCTAATGTCAAGCTCTATATTGTAATGACTTATAATAGAATGGTTAAAAAATAGCTCAGTATTAATTACCTCCCTATATTTCTAATGTCAAGCTCTCAATTGTCATGACTTATAATAGAATGGTTAAAAAATAGCTCAGTATTAATTACCTTCCTATATTTCTAATGTCAAGCTCTCAATTGTCATGACTTATAATAGAATGGTTAAAAAATAGCTCAGTATTAATTACCTCCCTATATTTCTAATGTCAAGTTCTTAGTTGTCCTGATTCTCAGGTTGTGAATAAATAAGATACAAACAATGAAACTACTTATTCAATGATCTACCAACACCAAATTCTCCAAATCACAAAAAAAGATAAGATAAAACCACAATTAATTTAAATAAAACTAGATTATCACTATGACCATTTTGCAGTTTTATAGGACAAGTTTAACACTCTTTTTTAAAAGTGTTTTTTTCTTAAATGATATAAGATATTACATGTATTACATTTTACCATTCAATAAAATGAAAATAATGATTTTGATTACATAAATTTAAAAGGCTGACAATAATGTAGATTTTTAATGTAATTCTAAATGAAGTATTAAGGAGTGAGAAATACAAATGAAATATAAATATCAGTTCCCTGAACAATTCAAAACGAAGTACTGCACTGTTCTATGTGCGCATCTGCCAATTCATCTTTAGTTAAGTACATTTGATAAATAACGCCTTTAATATGCAAAAATCTTTTGGTGTTCATTGGACTTTATACCCCCTACTGTCACTACTATATAAACATGCTATATAAAGAAAAATGAATTTCACAAGGATGGGATGTAGTGAGAAACACGGAATGTTTTTAATTATTGTCCTGCTGATTATGGTAATGTTTGATGTGTTTATTTTCAATCAATGAAATATCATTATATTAAGGCCAATGAAAAAGTTGTGTGTTAATGGTTTCTGCTGTAATAAATATAGCGGAGGTAGGTTGTAATTCTTTTTTTTTATTTTACTGAACATTTTCACTTTTAGAATATGAGAAGACCTGAAGTTCTGTCACAATTTATTACTTTTATTAAATGGTCAATAAAAACTTCATGGGTAAAAACGTAGGGTATGTTCAGGGAAACTTTTATAAAACACACATATTTTCATTTTGGCCCTAAAAGTGTTTATTTGAATTAATCTGGTTGTTGACAATATTTGAGTTCAGCTTAAAAAGATAGTAAACTTTAAAAAAAAAAAGCACAGCTTTTTCTCATTGTTGAAGGCTGTACGGTTGCCTATAATTGCTTACATCCACTTCATTTGAACTTTGGTGGATAGTTGTTTCATTGGCAATCATACCACATCTCCTTATGTTTATATTAACATGGACAAGCATGCCTTTTATTGTGATTTAAGATATATAAAGATAAGGAGATATGGTATGTTTGCCAATGAGACAATTATCAAAAAGGAGACCAAAGAACTTATTCATAGAATATAAAAATAAGGCCAATGAAACAAATGATGTGGATGTACGCAACTATAGGTCATCATATTACCTTCAACAATGAGCAATACCCATGCCATATAGCTTGATATAAATGGCCCTGAAACACTTAAATGTGAAACAATTCCGATGAAAATACCATCAGCCTGATTTATGACAAACCAGGCGAAGATATTCATTTCTATACAGATTTCTGTTGAAATTTGATTTCTTATGGCACACAAATTTAATTTAACATCTCAAGAACATTGAATATTCCTTCAATTGTGATGAAAATAATTTAACAAAATGATAGGATTCTTTACATTCTCTGCTAAAGGGAAATAATTAACATAATTGGGGAAGTTGTAAATCAAGAATTTATTTTGAAGCTCGTCAAATTGTACATTTACGTGTCGCATTCATTTGGATTCATTTGGATCACCGATTTAATTTCAATATAATGGATTTAATCGATGTTTTAAACTAAAAGAGTAATGGAGACATTGATCTTCTAAGTTTGTCTTTAAAAGCCTTCTGTTGTTAAATAACGGAGGCAGATAAATCACGTCAGACAGTGTTACAGTGTATTACCATGTTTTTACAACTAATTTGTGACTAAGATCAGGATCAACTCATTCTGTGTTTCATGTAAATTAATGATACTAGATGTAAAGTGTTTCTGAACATATGGAAATTTTGGTTAAAACACTGCGTCATCAACTATTTTTCAAAGAAAACATTTTATGAATGAAATTAAAAAGGGGAAACATGAAAGATAGGAAGAGGAAGTACTACGTAGATATGATCAATGCTTTACAATCTACTCTCATAATATACATTACACTTGGAAAGTTTTCATTCACTGAACTTACAATTGAAAAGAAAGGTGAAGGCCTATATAAAAATCAGGGCACATATTTGAAAAACAAAACAAACAAAAAACAAAGGAAAAAATGCTTTTATTGCTGTTATTTCATCTCAAAGTCACAGTGGGGCCTTCAACACAGAGTAAAGTCTCACTGACACATATAAAGGGATTTCAGGCATCCCCTAGTCCCTAGAATCAGTTTGAGCTTAAATTCCTTGTTATATGTTGACAACAGTACAGATAACAGTTCATCTGTTCATTGAAGGACACAGGTCTGGTTACTGTTTTTGGTAACATGAAATCAATTGGGTCTGAAAAATTGATTGTTTCTTGCTTAACTTCCAGTGGTAAATATGGTATCAATGGTTGACATTTATCGTGTTAACAACAAGGGCCTATAGTATCTAGGATTTTGAAGAAGCAGAATGAAAAAAAAGTGTGTTTTTCTGTTGCGTGATGTTTCCATGTTTTTGACTTTACAATCCTTTGTCCTTTAATTATCAGTTTAAAGTCTTTGTTGAAGGTAGTTTACCATGCAGTGGTGATCATATCAACTTAAATCATAGTACACATCTTCATTTTGACAAAATATATGATGTAAGCTTTTTTGAAATATATGCCAAATTAGAGTTTTGATCCAGATTTGGACACATATATATATGCTTATTTTTTCTAGAACATTGTATTTACATTTTGTATGTTTTATAATTGCAGTTTCCTGGAACATCATGGGGCACAGAGAAAAAGACATATATAGATATAGATACTGCACATAATGTAAGATTATAAGGTCATGTGATATGTCATGTGACTTAATTACATCTCATTTCAAAATACATGTACAACCAAATTCCATTGTAATTTAAGTCTTCACAGTTTAGTTAAGAAAAAATAATTAGGTCAGATGTTGGAAAGAGTTTTTAAAGCATAAAAGAAAATTAACTTCTATCATGTTTCCTTAAAGTACATTGGTAATTTATATACCAGTATACAATTCTTTCACTGACTAAAAGTTCATTGACTTTCTTATTTTACAGTACTTCTTGTGGATTCAGATGAAATATGATGTACTTTTAATGATGACTTAAGGTGATTCCCCAAAATTTCTGAAAATAAATTTGACCTGATCTTGTTAACATGCTTAAGTAAGGAGAACAATTTATATCAAAGTGTATAAGTCATGAATAGAAACAACCTAATTCAGATAGATTGAAGTCTTACCTTGCATATAAAATCTGAAAATATTGTTGAAGATTAAAATAAGGAGATGTGGTATGATTTCCATTGACACAACTATCCCCTGATGACAAACACAACACATTATGTACAGCTTAAGGTGGTACTAACACTACAGGGAGATAACTCTGTAAAAATCAACTTAACGTTTTAATCACGTTGTATTATTAAGGAAATATTAAGCTTCTCAATGATCAAAATTAGTGTTTGTCAAACTGCTATATAACCAACGAAATTTTTCTGATAAAGTGGTTGGTTCAAATTATTTGAAATTTTTATATTTTTGTCAAAGGGTCAAAGTAAACATTCTGTCAAAATTTTATGAAAATTAAACGAGCCAAATTAATATTAGTCAAGGTGTTGGGTACCACCTTAAACAATGAGAAAACTCATATCCCATATAGGGTAATTTGCTATAAAAAGTGCATTCTAAACACAAAACATTGACAGTAGGGGATCAAATTACACAGCAGACAGCAAAATGGTAACTGGACTACAAGCTCCTAGCTTGGGATAGGTGCATAAAAAAATTTGCAGGGTTAATATAAAAATAAGATGATGTGGTATGATACATCTCTCCATCAGAGACCAATGACATTGAAGTTAACAATTATAGGTCATCATACAGCCTTCAACAATGAGCAAAACCCATACCACATAGTAAGCTATAAAAGTCTAAAAGGGCAAGCGTAAAACAATTTAACCATGTTTCTGACCAGCATTCCCTTACCTATGACAATGGTGTTATAGCACAATAGAAAAATCACATGAAACACTTTTTAACGATTATGGAAAAATAATTCCTTGCATTGAAAAAAAGTAGTACATTCACCACTTCTAAGAGTGATCAATTAACTGAATAACGATCTGTTAAAGTCAAAAGATTTAAGAAGCAGTAACTGTTTTTACAAAATATCTTATGAGAACAAATGCTAACAAACTTTTCAGTAAAGCTTAAGATCAAGTTTTAATTGTTCAAATTTGTTGTGAAAAGAGCAAGAGGTTTATTGCTAGGATTGAAAATCATTGACCTTGGTTTCCTCAACAAAATCTGTAGCTTCATTCTATAAAATTCTACTATGTAATAAACAGAATAATCCCAGTCTTCCTCTACCAATTTATGTTCATATGGAAATAGATGATGTAGCGTAATTGTAAAGTTTGCCTTTCAAGTAATTAAAAATTATCTTCGATACTTTTGCATTGATATTTGTCACTCATTGGGAAATACTCTGCCATTTGCATCAGAGTTCTTATGGTCAATTTGAATAAAGCAGCCAAAAAGACAGGAAGCGATTTTCTTTAATCACCGCTGATTTCTTTTGATACAACATTAAATTGATGATAAAATGAACAATTGAGTACCACAGTACATTCACATAAGCCTAATCTATTCAGCGTAGAAACATGAATATTCCCAAAAGGCAAAGTATCGATTTAATCCAAGACTCGTATCAGGAGATCAGAGGAGGATTAACCATTTAGAAAATATGTTTCATTAGACATAACACAGCCAATTCTACCGATGATGTAAATGTGTTAAGACTCTGTCAATATCATTATCGTCAAACAATTAACGTTTATTTCTGGTGCTCAGGTGGTTGAGTTAAGATGCCAATAAATTACTGAGTATCAATATTTAAAAGGTGGAAGTTATCTCTGCTGCATATTTTCTTCCATAACTTTTGGCACCATTACAATCCAGATGAAATAGAATCGTAGAAAAACTGATGAAATGTTTTAGTCAAAGGTGACAGAGTTCGTACGATGATCAATTACGTTTACACTTCACAAAGTGCCACTAGTAGCAGTTTTTTCTCTAATTTAATGGATCTCGTACTAAATTCTAAAACCTTTTCTCTTAAATGTTGAAAGTATTGATAAGCTTGAACAAATGAATAAAGATTTTCTGCAGGCGTTAATGCATGTTTATTGAACATAAATAGATTTGATAGGCAATGTAATGATGTAAGGTGATAGTTTACTTTTGAAACCTGTAAAAATTGAATGAATCATTAATTATAATATAAAATATTGTAAATTCAGAAATTATTGCGAGGTTTTTATTATTGCAAATAATGCGACTATGTGATAATCGCAATAAAAAGAACTCACATTGTGATATCTGATACATATATCTGTATGCAGATTTTCCTGAAATCACAATAATTAATTTCGCATTTTTGTCCTTTCTTAAAAAATCGCAATAATTTCTGAATTTACAGTATATAATAAGGAGATATGGTATGATTGCAAAGGACACAACTATCCACCAGAGACCAAATGATGTATCTATGTTAGAAACTATAGGTTGCTACCTATAACTTGTACAGCCTTTAACAATGAGCAAAACCCATACAGATGGCAAGCTATAAAAGGCCTCAACATTACAAAATGTAAAACAAATCAAATGAGAAAACCACCATCCTGATTTATGTGCAAAACAATAAACGAAAAAACAAATATGATATACAGTAACAAACAATAACAACTGAATTACAGGCTCCTGAACAATGTGACAGGCACATACAAAATACTTATTTAATATTTAATATTTCAGAATTTTATATAAATGTTTTTCTTGAAAATAACATGGTACAATTTTTGTTCTGATTAGGAAGGTATGAGGTGCAAACTGTTTTACTTTTGGTCTGATCTGTTTTATATCAATATATCAATATGCTATAAAAAGATATTGTGTAATTGCTTTTTTTTTTTATAAAGCAATAAATCCTTTTGTCATGTTTGTAGTGCATAATTGCTGTTGTTTTACTTTTAACTTTTTAGACTAAGGGCGATTCAAAGCTTGCCATAGGATATTGACCACTTGTCATTTGATTAAGTCCATATGATGACCTGCACTATTTTTTGGGGGTTTCCTTGTGTTGATGGTTTGCTGTGTAGTTGACATTTACACTGTATTTGTCATACATGTCTCTCATTTATTTCAGTACCAATTTCACTTCTCCGTCCATCATTTCTTCAAAGTCCAGATATTGAATTATATGACTTGTTGTTAGTCTGGTACACATGTAATTACTTAGATTACAGAAAACTTGTTGATACATAAACAAGTGAATATAATTGTATTGTGATTATATTAATTAGGGTTTTAGATACAGTTGTTATTTTATCGTGTTCATTATAGTCATATCTCGTCAATAGAAGAGAGATTGATCTCCTAATTATGGAACCTGATTAGTGACCTGTTGTTGGCATGTACTTGTATGTAATGGCTGCTTTGTCTACAAGATAACATGTATCATAATATATCAAGGTTGAAGTTTGGTATGAGAATTTGGAAGTTCTTTTACAAGGAGGAACTATGTTAGCTAGTGCATCGTACTACGTTGTATAGTGTATTGTGCCAAAAATATCATAGGGTGATGAGGTCTTTGTTGATGTCTTAATTAAAGACTCCTCCAAAATCTTATTCAAGTATTTCCTTTGAAATTAAGGGTATAAAATACAAGATAATGAAAACCTGAAAGTTTTGTGGGCTGTTATATTACTGCCTTTACCCCTGAATATTTGTTAGCTCACTTAGCCCAAAGAGCCATGTGAGCTTTTCTCGTCAGTTAATGTAAGTCCTCCTTTTAACTTTTATAAAAAATCTTATCCTTTCAAACTACTGGACAAATCGGAACCAAACAAGATAATGTCGTTTGTTGCTTTGTAACATATTTGTTTTTCGTTCATTATTTTGTACATAAATTAGGCTGTTAGTTTTCTCGTTTGAATTGTTTTACATTTGTCATTTAGGGGCCTTTTATAGCTGACTATGCAGTATGGGCTTTGCTCATTGTTGAAGGCCATACGGTGACCTATAGATGTTTATTTCTGTGTCATTTGGTCTCTAGTGGAGAGTTGTCTCATTGTCAATCATACTACATATGCATCTTTTTATTTTTATACATAATCATCATTAGGGTTTTCTACTTATGAAAAAAGTTTTGCATTTAGATTTGAACTAAGTGGGATTTATTTAATGAAATAACTTGTGTATTTTCAATTTTAATCAATAAGAAATTGTGTCATTACAGGACTTTTTAGAAGGAGAAGGCAGTGGTCAAGAAAGTACAACAAAAGATGATACCACGGATGATGAAGATCTGATAGACTTTGGGTCCGGAGATAATTCTGGAGATGGATCAGGTGTGTCAAAGAGTAAGTACACTAAAAACTTGTGTGTATGTAGAGGTGAGGGTCTGTTGGAGTTTGAATCTGGTGATGGATTTAGTGAGGCACAGATTTAATAATAAAATAAGAAGATGTAATGTATTTTCCAATGAGACAAAATGACATACAAATAATTAACTCTTAGGTCACCACACACCCTTTAACAATGAGCAAAACTAATAAGTATGATATACAGCAACTGAATTACAGGCTCTTGACTTGGGACAGGCGCGTATAGAATGTGCCTGGATAGCATGCTTGCAGAGCCCAACTCTCCCCTTACCTTGGGCAGTTTTGTAACAGCATTACGTGGTCACCAAAGTATAAAAATCAGTTCAAAGTTAACTTAAAATGTATGTTTGGGTGTATGTGTGTGTGTATAAGGGGGGGGGGCAGTGGGTTAAAGGTTTGTTTTAGTTAAGAGTTTCGATCTGGAGATGAATTTTGTATGTAACAAAGTATGAACACTTAGAATATGTGTGTTGGGGTGGAGCTGAAGATTTGTTGAAATCTGAAGACTCATCAAGAGATGGATCTAGTGTGTCACAAAGTACTTACAGTACACTTACATAGGGGAGTGGTTAGTTATCTTTAAAAATCTTTTAATGAGTAATTTTAAAATTTATAAAGTCTATCAACATCTCTGTTAATCTATGACCTTTATTGGTCCCACCTGTTGTTAGAATAAAGTGAAGTTTAGGAAAATGTATTCAAAGGAAAAATGGATTTTCAGAAGAGGGAACTATTTTTATGGGAACTATCTAATGTGTATCATAAGTGTTTATACTGTTAAGTTATAAATCTTCTAATATTTCAATTCTCTTTATTGTTTTCATTTGTAGTCGCTGACCATTAAAACTTTAAACTTTGACTTCAAAATCTGACCATTAAAACTTTAAACCTTCATTGTACATCTAAATTTTTAAAGTTACTCCCCTAAAAAAATATCCTTACAACAACAGCGTGTTATAATATCAAAATAAATAAACATTCTTGTCCTGAATTGTAAAGAAATCATTTGAACTGTGACAAGTTTATTCATCCAGGTATTTCGGGATTAACACTTTCAATTTAATATAATTACAACTTTTAATAAAGAGAAAGTTTGCTGCTGAACTTTTCTGTATATTGCCTGATCTATGTATACTTGTGTTGTGGGTTTATTTTCATTCATAATCATTGAATAAAGAAGAAATGAATTTTGCATTTGAAACTTTTCTGTGTTAAAATTTGATTCATTTGTGCTGTGGCTGTTTAAAGGATCGATTGGTCAGTGAAGCTTTATGCCACATTAGGTCAAAATCCTATATCAATATTGTGCCAATTATTTTAATGAATAATAATGTGCACTGAAGATCAAATAACAATATTAAGGTACCAATACAAGTTATTAGGTGGGTTAAAACTTATTATTAAAGTGTTTGGTTTTTAAGTTTTAATTTCCCCGACATGTATATAATTTATTTGGAATGGACAAAGAAGTAAACAACTTTGACTGACATTTATGGAGTTTTGTTAAGTGCATTTACAAGGCTATAATCACAGCTAAACACATATTATCATGAGTATAAAGGCATGAAATTATGATTATATAACAAATTAATGTAATTATCATGACTCTTGCAGCCTACACAACCAATAATCTTGTACACGCTTATAATTATAAATTACACCAAAGTAGGAATAATTCTTATAAAATAGTGTATAATTGTGCTCATTCAGACAAAATCATGTATTAGTATGACACTTCCACACGATCATCATGCAACATGCATCATCGATTTTAAATGTTATACAAAAATGCAATGGACTAAACTATGTTGTACATGGACATGTTTATTCAGACCTGTTGTTTACAGATTATATAGTTATTATATATAAAGATGGTAAATAATAAGAAACTGTCAATCACCTTAAATTATCAGCAATCACATAGTAGAAAAACAAAGGATATGGGGTTTTCACCCATGACACAAAATCAATACATGCACAGGAAAAAACACAAAAAACAAAGGATATGGGGTATCCATCCATGACACAAAATCAGTACATGCTCAGGAAAAAACACACAAAAAGCTAAGGATATGGGGTATCCATCCATGACACAAAATCAGTACATGCACAGGAAAAAACACACAAAAAACAAAGGATATGGGGTATCCATCCATGACACAAAATCAGTACATGCACAGGAAAAAACACAAAGCAAAGGATATGGGGTATCCATCCATGACACAAAATCAGTACATGCACAGCAAAAAAAGACACAAAAAACAAAGGATATGGGGTATCCATCCATGACACAAAATCAGTACATGCACAGGAAAAAACACAAAGCAAAGGATATGGGGTATCCATCCATGACACAAAATCAGTACATGCACAGGAAAAAACACACAAAAAACAAAGGATATGGGGTATCCATCCATGACACAAAATCAGTACATGCACAGCAAAAAAAGACACAAAAAACAAAGGATATGGGGTATCCATCCATGACACAAAATCAATACATGCACAGTAAAAAACACAAAGCAAAGGATATGGGGTATACATCCATGACACAAAATCAGTACATGCACAGGAAAAAAACACACAAAAAACAAAGGATATGGGGTATCCATCCATGACACAAAATCAATACATGCACAGTAAAAAACACAAAGCAAAGGATATGGAATATTCACCCATGACACAAAATCAATACATGCACAGCAAAAAACACACAAAAAGCTAAGGAACAGCACTTTTATTGCTGTCCTTCATCTCAAGGTCACAGTGAGGCCTTCAACATAGAGAGAAAAAAAACTCACCTCACTGCCATTTTAAAATGGCCCATAGCACTAGTTTGAGCAGAATTCTTTGTGGAACATAGGTTTACATGTACAGCTGATCTCACAACACAAACAAGGTTAAATTTGAACAGACTTAGCATACATGTATATTACATTATGAGCCTAAAATATGTTGCAAGGTTCCACAATTTTGCTGATTATTTTCAATATTGGTGCTCTAAAAATTAGGTTTAATGAACTGTATATTCAGAAACTTTTGCATGCATCTATTATTTCGATTTTTGAAGAAGGAACAAAAATGAGTTCAAAATTATGTTTCAAATATCAGAATGTGAGTTCTTTATTGCAATACTCAAGTATCTGTTTATTTCATATTCACCAAAGATCAGTTCATTTCTAGTCATTTTGGAAAAGCTAAAAAATATATGAGTATGCAATTGGTCTGACAGGTTAATTGCTTTAAAGGCTGAGATATAATCACTAAGAAAACATATAACTCTCTGGAGAGTGCTAATCTATGTTATGGGAGAAAACCATCAGAGTAAAACCAATATCATTGCAGAAAAAACAAAGATCGACAGAAAACATTAATAACATAAAGCAGACATTTATCCTTATCATGTGTAGAACTGCTACCATTATAGTGTAGTATGATAAGTCAGAGGGAGTACCAATAATAGCAAATTTATGGATAAGCTGAGTTTATTGTTATTTTATCGTAATTTTCTGATACTTCCTGGAGACTGGATGTTGATGTGAAGAAAAGAATTAAGCAATTTGCCATTTCAGGATTTAAAGAAATTTGGGAGATATTTTCAAAATAGTTACACCAAGGCTTACAATGTGTTAACACGGTGTTAAACATTGATGCTAAACCACTTTTGTAACACTTTTTATTTAGGTGTAAAAAGTAAAATCACAAAAATACCAAACTCCAAGGAAAATTCAAAAAGGAAAGTCCCTAATCAAATGGCAAAATCAAAAGCTCAAACACATCAAACGAATGGACAACAACTGTCATATTCCTGACTTGGTACAGGCATTTTCTTATGTAGAAAATGGTGGATTGAACCTGGTTTTATAGCTAGCTAAACCTCTCACCTGTATGACAATTGCATCAAATTCCATTATATTGACAACAATGCGTGATCAAAACAAACAGACATAATAGGTAAAAATGTCACAAATAGGGGTACAGCAGTCAACATTGTGTTATCATCTTAATCACTATAAAAACAAACAAATGTAACAAAAGTTGTTGAACTGATAGATTTGTCTTTTGTTGTTTAAACAATTGGAAAACCCACAATCTACCAGATTATTAAATATAAAGTGGGTTAAACGTTAAATGAGACAGCAACCCAATGACAAAAATAACCAAAAGACATCTAGAGGGCAAGGTGCAGTCTTCAACAATAGACCGGTGTCTACAATTTGTCCTCTTATTAAAGAAAGTCAATAGTTCCTATTGTAAAGACAAAAACATACAAAATTCATGTTTCTATGACAACACATTTTGTTTGTACGGTTGGTGTCATACATTCATGGTTCTAAAGATGCACAAGGTGATTGATTCTGTTAATTTTATAACTTTGGCACAGCTGGCTGACTGGTGGCGATTTTTTTATGTTAAGCACTGTTAAATCCAGACCATTTCCCTTCATAATGTATGTCAGATATTTTTTAGAATAAAATAATTATACCCTACCGTATTTTTACCATCGTTAGGCAGGAAACAGCTACCGGTATATATTTTTATTTTTGCACTATTTTGTTCAATTTGGATTTGACTTCTAAAAACTAAATGGATTAATTTAAATTAGATGGTGTATGAATTTGTACTCCACCCTTTCTGGTAAATTGAATTTACTGACTTTGTCATTAAATAAAAATGTCTTATTTTGTAGTCGATCTTATCACAACAAAAGCTCCAACAACAAAGAAGATGACTGCATGTCAACAGTTAAGATCGTCAACGAAAGATTTCTCTTCAGATTTCTATATTCCTGAGTGTACAATAACTGGTGAATATGAAAAACGACAGTGTGAAGGAAAAGTCGGGTCTAAAAAATGTTGGTGTGTTGATCCAAACGGAAGAGAAATACCTGGATCACAAATGACAGAACCTGAAGTTCCAGATTGTCATGAAGGTAGGGGAATGCACATTATAGTTTAGATTTATGTACACTAGAAATATGTTGGGACAGATTTTATGCATACATACCAGGATATACTTTTCCTTTCCCTTGAAATTGGGGCCGGAAGAATATGCAGTGACCCCGATTTTACTATTTTTAAACTCATTTTGTGGTTTTTGGGATTTTTTTTTAAAAAAAATTTAAGAGAAAAAAAATTCTAAAATGATAGCCGTGTAAAAAAAATTGTATTATTACCTTCTTTTTACTGTCAATGAAACCATTAGAGAAATTACTCTGACTTGTTGCATTTTGATGAATAGTTAACCCTCTAGATTGATAAAAAAATATTTTCATACTAGTAACCTTAGTATATTATTAAAGCTAAAAAATAGCCAAAGGTAAGAAAACACAAAAGTTCTTGATCTCATGAATTTGTTGATTACTTTTAACATAATTTAAGAAATTTGTATTGCAACTGATATTTCTTTATTTTTTCCAGGAAAAAATTTGAAACCTTGTGTTTTTGAACTATTAAAGACCAGTAGTGGTTTATTAGGAGCACGTCAAGCACGTTGTACATTTGATGGTGAATACGAAGAGATTCAATGTCATGTCAGAGAATGTTGGTGTGTTGACAAAAAAGGAATTGAAAGAATGGGAACACGAGTATCCATGACAACCTGGAAGAAATCACCTGTTTGTGAAGGTATTATTTGGATTATTAATGATAGAAAGAAAATATTTCCTATGGCTGTACTTCTTAGTTGAGTGCACTTTGGATATGAAAGTTACTTACTCCTGGCTTTGTTAAATAATAATAAGTTACAATCTGGCAGGGTACCAGTTATGTAGTTAAAGTATAAATACACTCATGCAATGAATAGGATCAGGGTGAAAATTGTCATGTCTAATCAAATTATTTAAACTACTTAAAAATGAAAACATTGATGATACTTTCTTATGATTGGATGAAGAGGGGGCCTGACAGCCTAGTTGTTGTGTGCAAAACTTTTTAGGTCATATGGTACGATTTCAGCTTCTGTTTGGCAATTTTAAATATTGTAAAAGATCGATTTGTTCATGTTTTAATATCAAATGTACTCTATTGCATCCAGGGCAAATATAGCAAGTTTTCACATAGAAAGATTTATGAATATCCAAAATCACTTTTACATAAAATATTTAATGCATTTTGTACTTCTTTTTGGTAAGTTATATCATTAAAAATAAAAGGCATGAATTTTTGTAAATATTTCATAGTTTGCAAGTAAAAAACATTGAACTTTATAAAAGTTAAAGAATATTGTACATAGAATCTAAAACTTTAAAGGTCTCCTTAAGTTTCCATCCGTTGCTGCATAGTTAGACACTAATTGAAGACGATTTTCAAATAAAATTTCCAAACATATTTGTCAAAACTGTGAGTAAATACGTAAATATCATTCACAAAAACATTATTTTGTGTGTTTTAATTATATTCAAGACAAAATGAAAATTTTCATCTGGAAAACAATGTTAAATAGATCTTTAATTTTTAACTGTGTATTATTTGTGTTTTGGTCGGCTTGTGTTCTCTAATATGTTTTCTTGGGTTTTTTTTTACTGATAAATGAAGAAAGAGTCCATATATTAAATTTTGTAATTAATAAAGTTTTGTTCAGAATTAAAAAATGAAAATGCATTGAATGAATTTAATAAATGAGTATTCAATTAATATCCATGCCATATGAAATAAGCCCTGGGAATTAGCATCTAAATAAGGAGATAAATTACCAAATTCATTTTAATTATGTATACATGTATGTATATTGTATAATCATTACAATTGTATACTATTGCTTTTGTTTATAATCTCATTCAATAAATTTCAAGAGGCCAGGTCATGTTCATACCATAAACTGCTTGTAATAAATGACACATTATCACTGCAACCTATCAATAATATAAGACAAACTTGCATGCCTTGTGCAGAATGTCCTCCCTCCTCTAGATTTGATGCAAATTTAAATATTCTGCATTTCAGAAAGACAACACAAATTCAGTTTATATTCAATTCCATACATCTGAACTATTTTTTGTGCTGAGTTTCAATTTTGAAAGATAGTGGGATTTTTATGCCCCTGTCGTAGCGGAGGGGGCATTAAGTTTTGCCCTTGTCCATCTGTACGTACGTCCGTCCTTACGTCTTAAAGTTGGTTTCCGTTCTCTAACTTTAGTTTGCCTCAACCAAATGTGATGAAACTTATATACAATGCTTATTAACACAAAACTCAGATCAAGTACAAATGTGGGTAGCGTCACTTTTACCTTTCTTCAGTTATGTCCCTTTATATCTTTATATGATATGCAAGCGGGGGCATCATCTGTGTCCCATGGACACATTCCACATTTTTTTTTTTTGGCCAAACAGATAAATTTTGCTATGTTCTTGCAAATTCTTTGTCTGTTTAAAACTTGTTAACAATGAAAATTGAATTTCTATTTTAGAACCTATAAAGGGAACAATGGCTCCACCATTACTTGAAGTTACAAAGGCTCCTGACACACCATTCCCATATTATCCAGAAACTACCAAAAAAGTTTATCCTATTCATCATGAAAAAGACAAACCAAAATATGATCATGGTGACAAAAGTGATGACACAGTAAGTATAACTTTATAACTATTTCGTAAGTTATGAGACAAAATAAAATGCTAGTACTGTAAACCTGGGAACAGTATATCTAACGGGAAATGAATTTGATAGGCTTTTCAGTATAAAACTGATAAAATCCTGAACTTTACGAGACTTCAAGAGATTTATGGATTTTGGAAGCGTCTGACTGAAAAACTATTGGAACTGCTCAATAAGTTAACCATATAATTCCAACGTTCAACAAATACAATGAATTGATAAGTTTTATCGTAAAGTAGATATATTTTGTCATATAAAATGACCAATATAAGTGTGATTTATTTAATGCAAAGTGTTTTGTAATGGTTGGTGAAGTTTACAGTTACTGGGCATGCCATCGGCGCCATTTTTTGTCTCGCCTTGACGGAGTCAAAAAGAGAGACATAGGTATGCTGTTTCCGGCGACGGCGGCGTCAACAATGTATTAGTTTGTGATTAGGTCTAGTTCATGGTGAACCACTAGTGGTAGGACAATGATATTTGGTATGCAGTTGAATAAGCATTGGCATATCTCATTTCCATGGAGATTATTTGGCTCCGTCCCCTTAGTCATGGTCTATAGACTTTGAAAATTTTGCTAAGTTAACATGTATTAGTTTGTGATTAGGTCAGTTCAAGGGGAACCATTAGTGGTAGGCCCATGTTAATTGGTGTTCTGTTGTATAAGCATTAGCACATCTCATTTCCATGGAGAATATTTGGCCCCGCCCCCTCAGTCATGGTCTATTTACTTTGAAACTTTTGCTTAGTTTACATGTATTAGTTTGTGATTAGATCAGTTTAAGATGAATTGCTAATGTTAAGTCAATGATATTTGGTATGCAAATTTATTGGCATTTGCAAGTATCGTTTCCATGGAGATTATATAGCCCCACTCCTGATCATGGCTCATTGACTTTGAAACTTTTACATAGTTTACAAGTTAATGTTTGTGTTTAGGTTTGTTTAAAGGAAACAACTTATAATAAGTCAATGGTATTTGGTATGCAGTTGTATTGGCATTGGCGCATCTCATTCCATGGAGATTGTTTAGGCATGTACCTTCAGTCATGGTTCATCGACTTTGAATATTTGCATAACTTACATGTTAAAGTATTGCTATTTTAATTTCAACATTTGCATTCTCAAAATTACAAAAAGACGAGACATATCTCTGTGATAACAGTTTATTTTATTACCTTGTTTGCATTCTGTACCCTTCTGTGATGAAATGAATGCGATTATGACAAATTTGAAGTGACAGATTACAAGTTCGATACACTGGCATCACTTATTACTTAGTTTGAATGACATTCTATTGACATTAACAAAAATAATGTGTCATCATTCATGGTTATATTGGGAATAGCAAGTACGTATCGTGTCATTTATTAACTATGACCCGACAATAAAATCGGCTATAATTAGGTAGTGTCAAGTCCCGTCAACATATATATTATATTCCTGTGTAAATCAACAAATTTTCGCAAGCAATTTATTTTTTCAAACCGAAAAAAAGACAATTAGAAGTCATCACAAGTATGTCGAGCTTGAATCTTTCCTTAAAGAAAAGCATAAACAACAAGGTTATACAATGTCATCTCTCAAGGGCTAAATGCGAAATAAAGTATTCACGAAAATCAATTGGTTACTTTTTGGAAAATCTGTTCAGTCACTGGATACAGTGCAAAGGAAGGGAATGGGGCTTCCCATGCTGTTCTGTATCTCAAAGTCACAGTGAGGGCTTCAGCAAGAAGCAAAAGCTTACACCTCAACATAATTCAAGATAGCCCCTGTCCATGTTTTAAGAAAGATATGTTAAAAGTCTTTATATATCTTAGATAATGTAAATGTCATTGTCAAACTTGCATCATATAATCATGTTCTCGTCTTAAATATGCATTAAATTTGCCACTAGACATTAAATGGCCAGCCATCCATCAATCTTTCCTCATTGTTTTGAAAATCACTGGAGAAGCTTTCAAAATGCAAATAAATTACAATCTCAAGACACGCTTAATACGCCAAAACAATGAAATTGTATGAAATGGAATTTAATGATTTTTTTCTGGTTTTACTTCTCAAACTAGCAATAGGAAATCAGAATAACTTTTTCTTGAGAAGAATTCGATGTGCTTTTTTCAATTCACAATTTCTGTTTTGCACTTATTATAGTTTTATATTGTCAGCTCATAATTTGTTTTTTCCAATTTGAAATCTTAATTAACTTGTGACTCCCATTACTTATTTCTTAATTTTGTTCTAGTATAATAATTTGCTTACCATCTTTTTCAGGATAATGATGACAGAACACCAACTTCTGTTGATGTTAATATTGGAGGTAAGTCAGATGTATTATGAAATTTTTGTCTGTGGTTCACAGGACAGGGGTTCAAATTAATTGGTCAGAGGTCCAGGACCGTCTTTTCTGGGAGAGGATTTTAATTTTTATATAACAAAGGTCAAGGACCTCCCATTTATTACATTGATGCTTTGACCTTTGACCTCTTATGGTGGACCTTTCACTTAAAATTCAAAAGGTCCTGGACTTTTCATCATTTCAAGCAAATTGAACCCATGCATGATAGAAAAACAAAGGATATGGGGTATCCATACATGACACAAAATCAGTACAAAGATATAAGAAGATGTGGTATGAGTGCCAATGAGACAACTCTCCATCCAAATCAAAATTTATAAAAGTAAACCATAAGTCAAAGTATGCACAGCATGAAACACAAAAAGCAAAGGAACAGCACTTTTATTGCTGTTCTTCATCTCAAAAGTCATGATGAGGCCTCTCACCTCACTGCAAGTTTAAAGACGTCCCTAGCACTGGTTTGAGCGGAATTCTTTGCAAAATGATTCGGATGGACTTTGTAAGATGTATCACCACCAGATCGGTCTTTCCAAAAAGGAACATAATGGAAAGTAGTACATATTTAAAACAAAATAGTTCCTACGGATAGGAAGAATCAATCCACAAAAAGTATCTTGTTGGATTGTTTACCCTTCTAAGATACCACAGTTCTCCATCTCAAAGACTGGCCTTCTAAGATACCACAGTTCTCCATCTCAAAGACTGGCCTTCTAAAATACCACAGTTCTCCATCTCAAAGGCTGGCCTTCTAAGATACCACAGTTCTCCATCTCAAAGACTGGCCTTCTAAAATACCACAGTTCTCCATCTCAAAGGCTGGCCTTCTAAGATACCACAGTTCTCCATCTCAAAGACTGGCCTTCTAAAATACCACAGTTCTCCATCTCAAAGACTGGTTTCTAAGATACCACAGTTCTCCATCTCAAAGACTGGCCTTCTAAAATACCACAGTTCTCCATCTCAAAGACTGGCCTTCTAAAATACCACAGTTCTCCATCTCAAAAGACTGGCCTTCTAAAATACCAACCACAGTTCTCCATCTCAAAGACTGGCCTTCTAAAAAACCACAGTTCTCCATCTCAAAGACTGGCCTTCTAAAATACCACAGTTCTCCATCTCAAAGACTGGCCTTCTAAGATACCACAGTTCTCCATCTCAAAGACTGCCCTTCTAAAATACCACAGTTCTCCATCTCAAAGGCCTTCTAAGATACCACAGTTCTCCATCTCAAAGACTGGCCTTCTAAAATACCACAGTTCTCCATCTCAAAGGCCTTCTAAGATACCACAGTTCTCCATCTCAAAGACTGGCCTTCTAAAATACCACAGTTCTCCATCTCAAAGACTGGCCTTTTAAAATACCACAGTTCTCCATCTCAAAAGACTGGCCTTCTAAAATACCAACCACAGTTCTCCATCTCAAAGACTGGCCTTCTAAAAAACCACAGTTCTCCATCTCAAAGACTGGCCTTCTAAAATACCACAGTTCTCCATCTCAAAGACTGCCCTTCTAAAATACCACAGTTCTCCATCTCAAAGACTGCCCTTCTAAAATACCACAGTTCTCCATCTCAAAGACTGGCCTTCTAAAATACCACAGTTCTCCATCTCAAAGACTGGCCTTCTAAAATACCACAGTTCTCCTTCTCAAAGACAGGCCTTCTAAAATACCACAGTTCTCCATCTCAAAGACTGCCCTTCTAAAATACCACAGTTCTCCATCTCAAAGACTGCCCTTCTAAAATGCCACAGTTCTTCATCTCAAAGACTGGCCTTCTAAAATACCACAGTTCTCCATCTCAAAGGCCTTCTAAGATACCACAGTTCTCCATCTCAAAGACTGGCCTTCTAAAATACCACAGTTCTCCATCTCAAAGGCCTTCTAAGATACCACAGTTCTCCATCTCAAAGACTGGCCTTCTAAAATACCACAGTTCTCCATCTCAAAGACTGGCCTTCTAAAATACCACAGTTCTCCATCTCAAAAGACTGGCCTTCTAAAATACCAACCACAGTTCTCCATCTCAAAGACTGGCCTTCTAAAAAACCACAGTTCTCCATCTCAAAGACTGGCCTTCTAAAATACCACAGTTCTCCATCTCAAAGACTGCCCTTCTAAAATACCACAGTTCTCCATCTCAAAGACTGCCCTTCTAAAATACCACAGTTCTCCATCTCAAAGACTGGCCTTCTAAAATACCACAGTTCTCCATCTCAAAGACTGGCCTTCTAAAATACCACAGTTCTCCTTCTCAAAAACAGGCCTTCTAAAATACCACAGTTCTCCATCTCAAAGACTGCCCTTCTAAAATACCACAGTTCTCCATCTCAAAGACTGCCCTTCTAAAATGCCACAGTTCTTCATCTCAAATACTGGCCTTCTAAGATACCACAGTTCTCCATCTCAAAGACTGGCCTTCTAAAATACCACAGTTCTCCATCTAAAAGACTGGCACAAGAATTACCTCAAATATGGGGGAAAATCAAGGTGACAAAAAAATAAATAGAAATGACGTGGGAAATTGGATAACCAACTTTGAGACAGGAATCCAACAACACTGCAAAACTAGGGAGTATATTACAAACTCTTAAATAACTGCTACATAAATTTAACAGAATCTACCAAAGATCTACAACACCACTTTTTAGCTTACCTTGTCCAGAGTACCAAGACACAAACCGTTTAAATGCAGACATTCCCAATATACCAAGCTGTGAGATAAGTATGAAAATCATGCATGGATGCAACAAACATTGTCCCCAAACCAAATTTATGATAAATAAAAATGTCTAAACCTATATTTTGTTGCCAAAATCAAAATAAAAACCAGTTTGGAAGTAGATTTTGATTTCACCATTTATTGAATAAACATAAGATATTGTATCCATTAGCTTTTTCGGTTAAAATTCCTGAATAATAATAAAATGAAACCTTTCCACAGAATCATTTTCTTTTTGTTAAGTTATTTAAATGTTAGGAAGTTTAAATACAATAACTCCCCAGAGAACAAAACTATTGTATTTATACAATGGGACATGTGAACTTGCAAAAATTTGAATACCTTGATAAAGAGGAAATAATTCTGTGGTTTCATTTGGTTCGAAATAAGATACCTGATAAAGAATGAATATATATAAAACCTGTAATGTTTCCTTATTTTATCAAACTTTGCAGTCCAGCTAATGAATCATTGCATTTTATGTGATCAAATGTCTAACAATCCTTCTCGTATTTGTGGAAGTCTAAAAGAATATATAATTTACTGTACCAGACACCAAAATTGTTGAAATCTATTGCAGGTGGTAAATTCGATACTGATTCAGAGGACAACAGTAATATTGACAAATCAGAAAATATAAGGCCAGATAGACCAGAGGCACAGAAAACTACCTTTTTACAGATTATGGCTAGTCCAGGAATATTAGCAGGTATGAATTTCTTAGGACAAAAAAATATCTGGGTTTTTGCTAACGTGCTGAGATAAAAAGTTGGTAGCTAAGCAAATATTTTTTTATGCCCTTGCCATAGTGGAAGGGGTATTAAGTATTACCCTTGTCCGTATGTACGTCCGTACGTCCTGAAATTGGTTTCCGTTCTCTTACTTTAGTTTTTCTAAACCAAATGTTATGAAACTTATACACAATACTTATTACCACAAAACACAGATCAAGTTTGAATTTTGGTGGCGTCACTTATACTGTTTTAGAGTTATGCCCCTTTACAAATGGAAAAATTGATGAATTTTTCCTTTCCGTTTTCTAACTTAAGTTTGCCTCAACTAAACGTTATGAATCTTATACACAATGCTTATTACCACAATACACAGATCAAGTTTGAATTTTGGTGGCGTCACTTTACCTGTTGTAGAGTTATGCCCTTTACAAATGGAAAAATTGCTGAATTTTTATACGACCGCAAAAAAATTTTTGTGGTCGTATATTGGTATGACGTTGGCGTCGTCGTCGTCGTCCGGCGTCGTCGTCGTCGTCGTCGTCCGAATACACATTGGTTTTCGCACTCTAACTTTAGTTTAAGTGAATGGATCTTTTTGAAATTTTACTATCAGGTTTAATACCACAAAAGGAAGGTTGGGATTGATTTTGGGGGTTATGGTACCAACAGTTAAGGAATTAGGGGCCAAAAAGGGGCCAAAAATAAGCATTTTCTAGTTTCCAGACAATAACTTTGGAACAGTGTATGGATCTCTCTGAAATTATACTACAAGTTTCCATACCACAAAGGGATGGTTAGGATTTGCTTTGGGGGGGTTATGGCTCAAACCGTTTAGGAATTAGGGGCAAAAAAGGGGGAAAAACAAGGTTGTCCTGGTTAATGGACAAATACTTTAGTACAAAACATAATTTAAAGCAGTGTAAGGGAGATAAATCAAATACATCATTGAAATTATCTCCCTTACACTGCTTTTAAATTATGTATAAAGTAATGGTTAATGAACAATAAAGATAATTTAAAACAGTGTAAGGGAGGTAATCCAAATACAACGTTTTGGTTACTTCCCTTACACTGCTTTTAAATTATGTTTAAAGAAATGCATATTTATAAAGGAAGACCAGTAAAAATATCTGCAAATGTTGCATCTTTTTTTTTTACAAAAAAATCTATATGAAAGATTTGACACTATATTTTTAATTCTTTTATAAAATAGATTAAGTTAGCACTATGGTAAAATTAAATGGGTAATTATGGTTGCCAACTCCATTGGAAATTTGAATTGAGATTATGACCATATCTTGAGGGAAAGAATTTTTTGGGGAAAAAATGGGGGGGGGGGGGGATAAAAAGAAATTGTGGGGGGGTCAATTTTTTCTCATTTCAGATTTCAGAAATTAAAAAGAATTATTCTTCAAATATTATTTTTTTTTCAAATTTCAAATATTGAAAAATTTCAAGAAGTAATCTTTAATTGCACAGTATGGCACATTAGATTTGTAAAATCTTTGATCACATTTATTTATTTGTCATGCCGAATCTAACAGTATATTTAGATTTTTAATTTTGGGTCCAGTTTTCAAAATAGTCTACATTAAGGTCCAAAGGGTCCAAAATTAAACTTTGTTTGATTTTAGCAAAAATTGAATATATGAGGTTCTTTGATATGCTGAATCTAAACATGTATTTAGATTTTTGATTTTTGGCCCAGTTTTCAAGTTGGTCCAAATTGGGGTCCAAAATTAAACTTTGTTTGATTTCAACAAAAATTGAATGTATGGGGTTCTTTGATATGCTGAATCTAACCATGTATTTAGATTTTTTATTTGTGGACCCCGTTATCAAATTGGTTCATATTGAGGTCAAAAGGGTCCAAAATTAAACTTTGTTTGATTTCATCTAAAATTGAATTATTGGGGCTCTTTGATATTCCAAATCTAACCGTGTATTTAGATTTTTAATTTTGGGTCCTGTTTTTTAAATTGGTCTACATTAAGGTCCAAAGGGTCCAAAATGAAACTTAGTTTGATTTTAACAAAAATTGAATTCTTGGGGTTCTTTGATATGCTGAATCTAAACATATGTTTAGATTTTTGATTATGGGCCCAGTTTTCAAGTTGGTCCAAGATAGGGTCCAGTATTTAAACTTTGTTTGATTTCAACAAAAATTGAATATATGGGGTTCTTTGATATGCTGAATCTAAACATGTATTTAGATTTTTGATTATGGGCCCAGTTTTCAAGTTGGTCCAAATTGGGGTCCAAAATTAAACTTTGTTTGATTTCAATAAAAATTGAATATATGAGGTTCTTTGATATGCTGAATCTAACCATGTATTTAGATTTTTTATTTGTAGGCCCCGCTATCAAATTGGTTCATATTGAGGTCAAAAGGGTCCAAAATTAAACTTTGTTTGATTTCATCAAAAATTGAATTATTGGGGTTCTTTGATATGCCAAATCTAACCGTGTTTTTAGATATTTAATTTGGGTCCCGTTTTTTAAATTGGTCTTCATTGAGGTCCAAAGGGTCCAAAATTAAACTTAGTTTGATTTTAACAAAAATTGAATTCTTGGGGTTCTTTGATATGCTGAATCTAAACATGTGTTTAGATTTTTGATTATGGGCCCAGTTTTCAAGTTGGTCCAAGTTGGGGTCCAAAATTAAACTTTGTTTGATTTCAACAAAAATTGAATATATGGGGTTCTTTGATATGCTGAATCTAACCATGAATTTAGATTTTTTATTTGTGGGCCCCGCTATCAAATTGGTTCATATTGAGGTCAAAAGGGTCCAAAATTAAACTTTGTTTGATTTCATCAAAAATTTAATTATTGGGGTTCTTTGATATTCCAAATCTAACCGTGTATTTAGATTTTTAATTTTAAGTCCTGTTTTTTAAATTGGTCTACATTAAGGTCCAAAGGGTCCAAAATTAAACTTAGTTTGATTTTAGCAAAAATTGATTTCTTGGGGTTCTTTGATATGCTGAATCTAAACATATGTTTAGATTTTTGATTATGGGCCCAGTTTTCAAGTTTGTCCAAGTTGGGGTCCAAAATTAAACTTTGTTTGATTTTAACAAAAATTGAATATATGGGGTTCTTTGATATGCTGAATCTAACCATGTATTTTGATTTTGGACATTGGACCATAATAGGTAAATTAAAAAAATTCAAGTTCTTAGACCACATTCTTTCTGTGTCAGAAACCTATGCTGTGTCAAATATTTAATAACAATCCAAATTCAGAGCTGTATCAAGCTTGAATGTTGTGTCCATACTTGCCCCAACTGTTCAGGGTTCGACCTCTGCGGTCGTATCAAGCTGCGCCCCAGCGAAGCATTTTATTTGTTTGTGTTCTCTAACTTAAGTTTGCCTCAACTAAATGTTATGAAATTTATACACAATGCTTATTACCACAAAACTCAGATCAAGCGGGGGCATCATGGGACACATACCCCATTTATTTCAAAATGTTTTTAAATGATTTCAATAGGTGTGAAATCTAACTTAAATATAAGTCCACCAAATAATTCTAGGGTAGATGCTAAAAATTTGGTTTAGACATGGTAGAGGAAAGACATGTATTTTAGGTCTTACATTTATAACTGTCCAAAATCCACAAGTACCTTTATTTTCATTGTCCACAATTATAGTTCACTTTTTTCCTTCTTTTCTCATTCATTTCTAAGGTTTTATTGGGTGGAAATGAAAAGAGAGAGATGAAACTATGGTCATCCTAATCTATAAAAGAAGAATGAGAATTGAATTTAAAATAGAATTGTTATCTTGTAACCTTAACAGATTTTAGTATTGTGATACAATATATAATATGTTACACCGTTTTCGATTGGAATAACTCTCTGCCATTCATTTCACGGTTGACGGTCAGAGTCATAGGCCACAACCTTGGGCAATCACAGGCAACTTTTCCTGGATATTTAAATTTTTGATTTTGAACATTTTACTAGTAATGTATTAAACTAGGAATAACAATACTGTGTTTGGTCAATTTATGATTTAAACGGTGCCTTATATATGTTACAACGGCTAGGCTCTGCTTTGCCAGTAAAACTGCATTTGAAACCTTCAAATCACTAATTGATGGTGCTAATTCTTCAAACTCAGTACTGTTATTCCCTAATTCTAATCAATGAAAATTCATTATTTCTATTACAGCTGTGATTGGTGGATCAGTGGTAGGATTATTATGTGCCATCTTACTGGTGATGTTTATAATCTACAGAATGAGAAAGAAGGACGAGGGAAGCTATCCATTAGAAGAACAAAGATACACAAATTATTCATATATGAAGGCTCCTGAAAAAGAATTTTATGCATAGACTGTACACACTCAACTTGGTGCACTTAAAGACAATATGTTCTAAATAGATCTGTTTTACGGGAAAGGGGACATAATTCGTATAAAGGGGATAATGTAGCTAATGTGATCATTTGAGCTTTAAATAGTTTGAATTAAAAACTAGTTATCTTTGAAAACTGAGTTTACATACTAACAAAGAGAAAATTAGTGTTTAAAAACTAATGTAATATTTATATTGATACATTGTATATTCAGATGATGTAGCTGTGTGTACAAATATTAAATATATCTTCTGTTTTTTCGATACATATAAATATATGTTATTCATTCTACAGTATTTCGTTTCTCAAAAAGTAAAGTTGCTTAATATGTGCAGCATAACAACTTTATTAAACAAACTGTATGTTGATGTAGAATGAACACTATACTGGATGGACTTTTACAAGATTTTACACAAAGTAGTTAATCAAAATAGCAGTTATACTTCATTGTTCTGATGAACATAAAATGTTGTAGTTAAGGGTTGAATTATAGGTCCTTTAATATTTTGAAAATATATGAATGATATGTATTGTTCTGTAATGCCATTATATTTGGTCACAATGTGTGTGTTTCGTATAGCAGTTTCAGGAGTAGGAACTATTTTAACTATCAGGGAGATTCTTCAGAAAAAAGATAAACCTTTATCCCATTTAGGATATGCTGTAAAAATATGCATGTATGTGCTAGTGATAATGCCTATATTAGATATATGTGTGATTTTAGTAGATTGGAAATACACAAGATTGAACAAAGTGAAACTTTTTAGAAAAATTCATGGAAAATGAGGCATTCATCATCAAGATGAAAGCTCAAGAAAAAAAGTCAGTGCATTTGATTTTTTAGTTGTGGTACAAATGTATATCTCAATAGAAAGGCGATTTTTACTTGAACAATTTGTAAATATGTAACAAGAGAGTAACATTTTTAAATTGTATTTGTTTTAGTTTTATATTTATATGTTTTTCATCATGTAGACATTGAAAATGTACAATATTGATCATATTTGTCATTGTTTGTAATGTATTGTTTGAAAATTGAAATTCAATGCAACAAGTCAACGAGATAATTTAACTTAAGAAAGAAAACATTTCCAGAATTTACTCAAAATTAAAATTTGATATTTGAAAAAAACTAAAACCTCTGACATCAAATCAGCTTATAAGACAGAAAAACAAGATAGCAATTGAAATGGCTTATCAATCATGATGACAAAATAATTTTAATGTGATATTATGCAATGAATTTCAATTTTTTATTGTGTTATTATAATGTATGAATAACCTAGGAAATCCTATTTCCTCTGTCAAAGTTTTAACCCAAAAGTTTCATGAACAAAACTTTATAGCTATTTTAGAAATTTTCTTTTACAAACTTCTTTTATAAAACAATTGAATTTTATACAAATGTTCATATTTTTTACCAGACAACTTTTTAACTTAGAATGTGATGTTATAATTTGGTTGTAAAAGTATGCAATATGGATTGCATCTTTTAAACATTTTTTTGTGGTTTACGGTTGTACCAAATTAGTGATATTTTTATTGATTTATTTTTTAAATGAATGAAATTTTTACCATCAGTTTCCTTTTGGACACACTAATGTTTTTTTACTTTGATGTAACATTATACAAGCATACAAAAAAAAAAACCCCCATAAATATGTAAGATTATGTATTTTAACATTTGTAGAATAAAATTTTAACTCGTTCTTTTTTTTTCATTTTTAGCAACATTCCAAAAAGAAAACATTTTATCGGATTCATTTATTTCGGTTGGATACAAAGAAAAAAAATATGACTTATTCATAGCTGACTATCTAAACATGTTTTTATTCGGAATAGTTAAAAGAGCGTTTACAGATGTTTTGAATGCACTTAATGTGTTTGTTATAAGTTACTTTGTGCCTGCTTTAAAAATATCTCAGCTGTGATACTTTAAAGAAATAAAAGATGTTTTTCACAAGGGAGATAATTAGAAGGTATTAGATCACATGCCTCTTGAACCTCTAACATTCATTTAAAGATGACACTTTTTTCCCAGATAAAAAATACAGGTGAAAATTTTTGCACTTCTATATAACATTGGTGATAATTATTTGTCATACAGCAATAAATGTAGGATGTATATGTACATGTATTTGTAATATGACCTTTGAACTTCCTTCGAGGTAAACCACAGGATTTTAATCTGCATGTTAGTCATATAGACATGTCACTGTTTATGAAAAACCTGTAAAAAAAAAGATCTCTTTTCTTACCTAAAAGATTTTAGGGGTTCAAATAGATACAAAATTACGGGACAAAATTTGTTCTGCAATACGAAAAAGACTGGCAGAGGTCTGAAGTGAGGCCAAACAAACGAAAAAGACTGGCAGAGGTCTGAAGTGAGGCCAAACAAACGAAAAAGACTGGCAGAGGTCTGAAGTGAGGCCAAACAAACGAAAAAGACTGGCAGAGGTCTGAAGTGAGGCAAACAAACACAAATACTTGTAGTATATGTTTTTTATTTGTCATTTGACACAAGTTTTTTATGATAGTGCTTAAAATATTTGATACAAAACATATAAATAGTGTACCCATAGTTAGAATATTTATAGAACAGGGAATAACTTTGTAATTTTGTTTGAATTATATGTTGACAGTTTTTCACTTGGATCAGAACGAAAATGATTTTATTTATATTGAAGCTTAGAAATGACCAAGCTATATTTCTTTCTTGCAGAATAGAAAAATCACTAGTTTGACATTTTGTCCTTTGATCTAGTAACCTTTTGTCCAACAATTCAAGTTTTTGGAATCCAGTTTGCAACAAATTAATATGTAATGATGCTTGTTGATAACCATGATTGAGAATTTTTTGTGATAATTTAGAAATCTTTAAAAAAAATCCTGAAAAAATCTGAAAAATGTCAACATATAAATAACTTTGATTAGGGCAAATAATTTTTATGTATTGTTGATTTGATTCTGATATATTTTACCAAATGAACCACTGTTCAATAATATTGCAAAATGAGTAAACTTTAAAGGTATGTGTGTGTGTATATATATATGGATAATCCCACCGATACTAGTTGGAGATATTTTTTCCTATAACCACAACATGTGCAGTACATGAAAATGATAATACTGTTTCCTTGAGAAAAAACATTTTTTCCCAAAGACATCAAGTACTTAGTTTATATAAATGGGAATTCACTTTTATTTTATTTTATTTTTTATATAAGAATTCATCAACTGATGATTTTTTTTTAATTGATAATGCCGTTTTCCTGAAATTGTAAAATGTCTGTTAATTTTTTTTATTTTTGTTATATATGAAGAGTGACTAGATTTTCATTAAAATAAAAAAAAAAAATATCCTTAACTAATAAAATAATCCTTAACTGTTTTTTTTTTTATCACCTACAATATTTTTTTGAGCCTGTGATTTTTCAAGGAATACATAGTATTATAGAGAAAATATATCTCCCGATGTTCATGTCATGTTTTTCAAAACATGGAATAAAAGCAGCAATTTTTTTAACAATAGGGTGGTTTTATAATCTCATTTCACACATCAACCATAACTGTCTGGTGAAAAACCTATTGAATGATTGAGTTATAAGTACATATTTTCTAAATACCAATCTTTTATTTTGTGATATTATTTGTGTTGTTAAGTTATTTTTAGAACAAAGACAAAAACTTCCTTCAATGTTTTCATATTTTTCCATAGAGAATCAGGTCCAAAGAAGGTCAACATGGTCAAAGTTGATGTGTTTTTTTACAAGCCAGTCACATTTGATTTCCAGGACTTATGTCTTTTCAGTTAAATAACTTAATAGATGCTGTTTAAATGATAATATACAAATGTTTTGCCAACTAGCTCTGTTGAGTATACTATTGTTTCTGTAAATTTTGTTTGCTACAATTTTTGCTTGTTTACCAACAATGGTTATTTTCTACGATACTTATATTCGCCATGATGTCACGGTTATTTTCTACGATACTTATATTCACCATGATGTCACATGTCTACATCAATGCATTAAATTAAAATGCCTACTTAAATTTATAGTTAGTTCTCCAAGTCAAAAACTCTACTGTTACTTAATCGGTTTTAAACTCTTTAAAAAATTAGGATTAGTAAAGGATGTCACAGAAACTTCTACTTAAATAAAGAGTAAAAAAAACAACATTAATTTGAAATATTGACAAAAATTTGAAGAATACAAATTTTGCCTAGGAACAAATTAAAGCATTATAATCTACCTCTTACCATCTGGGAATAACTATGTTGATCTTCAACTTCATCTGTTTATTTCTGACGATTCTGTTCTTCCAAATATAGTTACCTCATGTTCATAAACTGTACATAAATAACATGAAATAAATGTCTTATTTTCAATAATGGCTTTTGTTTTAATTATATAAATATACCAGGATGATATGAAAATAAGGAGATGTGGTATGATTGCCAATGAGACAACTATCCACAAAAGTTCAAATGAAGCGGATGTATTAAAGCAATTATAGGTAACTACGGCCTTCAACAATGAGAAAAACCCATACCGTATAGTCAGCTATGAAAGGCTCTGACATGAAAATAGTATGAAACAATTCAAACTAACAGCCTAATTTATAACAAAAGAATTTGAGGAAAAGACATGAACCTCTGAACTACAGACTCCCGACTTCGGACAGACATACACAGATACCTGTATAGAAGGAGACACTTACCCTGTTGACTCACTTGGTCTTGCTCTTTTTGGAGTTCATGCAATTCAATCACTTTCTGATTGTTGCCTTAGTTTGTCTTTTACTAATGGACTTATGGGTTTCGGTAAACTACTGTCACCCTTTATTCAACAATATCATCAAATTCACCATCATGGTGTAGTCATTTCTTGCTGAGGTGCCATTTGAAACCGTCATCAATCAATCAAAAATCATTCAAACAGTTTTACCACCAGATATTTAGTTTCAGATAATTTTTCATTGTCCAGAAAATATGTCCAAATGGAACACTGAATTCTGTATTTGAAATATTGGTAATACTTTATACTATAAGTGAATATTTATGAGATCGGTGAATGGTGTAAGATATCCGTAATATATTTGAAATATTGGTAATACTTTATACTATAAGAGAATATCTATGAGATTGGTGAATGGTGTAAGATATCCATAATATATTTGAAATATTGGTAATACTTTATACTATAAGTGAATGGTGTAAGATATCCATAACATATTTGAAATATTGGTAATACTTTATACTATAAGAGAATATCTATGAATAAAAAAAATGAGATTTGTATATCATTAAGACAGCAACCCAATGACAAAAGTTCCAGAGGCAAAATACAGTCCAACAATAGAATGGTGCCTATAATATGTCGGGCTCAAAATCATTCCAGTCATTAAAAATTGAAAATAAATGAGAAAAAAAAACAACTCAAAATACTCTATACAACAAAAACATTAACAATTTGTGATCGCCTGATACCCCTTATATATGTGTTGAATGTAACAGTAATATCACCTGAAGGATCACACGAGAATCCACACTGGATCAGAACCTCATGAGGAGACCCACTGGATCAGAACCTTATGAAAATGAACACTAGATCAGAACCATATGAGAATGCACACTGGATCAGAACCTCATGAGAATGAACAATAGATCAGAACCACATGAGAATGCATACTGGATCAGAATCTCATGAGAATGCACACTGGATCAAAACCACATGAGAATGTACACTGGATCAGAATCTCATGAGAATGCACACTGGATAAGAACCTCATGAGAATGCACACTGGATCAGAACCTCATTAAAATGCACACTGGATCAGAATCTCATGAGAATGCACACTGGATCAGAACCACATGGGAATGCACACTGGATTAGAACCTCATGAGAATGCACACTGGATCAAACCTTATGAGAATGCACACTTGGTCAGAAACTCACGAGAATGTATACACTGGATCAGAACCTCATTAATATACACACTGGATCAGAACCTCACACTGGATCAGAACCTCATGAGTATAAACACTGGATCAGTACCTCAGGAGAATGCACACTGGACCAGACCTCGTGAGTATGCACACTTGATCAGAACCTCGTGAGAATACACAGATGATCAGAACCTCATGAGAAGGCACACTGAATCAGAACCTCATGATAAGGCACACTGGATCAGAACCTCATGAGAATACATACTAGATCAGAATCTCATTAGATTGCAGAGTTGATCAGAACCTCATGAGAGGCACACTGGATCAGAACCTAATGAGAATGCAGACTAGATCAGAACCACATGAGAATGTACACTGGATCAAAACCTCATGAGAAAGTACAGTAGATCAGAACCTCATGAGAATGAACACTAGATCAGAACCACATGAGAATGCACACTGGATCAAACCTTATGAGAATGCACACTTGGTCAGAAACTCACGAGAATGTGTAAACTGGATCAGAACCTCATTAATATACACACTGGATCAGAACCTCATTAATATACACACTGGTTCAGAACCTCATGAGTATAAACACTGGATCAGTACCTCATGAGAATGCACACTGGACCATACCTCGTTAGTATGCACACTTGATCAGATCCTCGTGAGAATACACAGATGAGCAGAACCTCATGAGAAGGCACACTGAATCAGAACCTCATGATAAGGCAAACTGGATCAGAACCTCATGAGAATGCATACTAGATCAGAATCTCATTAGATTGCAGAGTTGATCAGAACCTCGTGAGAGGCACACTGGATCAGAACCTCATGAGAATGCACACTAGATCAGAACCATATGAGAATGTATACTGGATCAGAACTTCATGAGAAAGTACAGTGGATCAGAACCTCATGAGTATACACACTAGATCAGAACCTCATGAGAATGCACACTGGACCAGACCTCGTGAGTATGCACACTTGATCAGAACCTCGTGAGAATACACAGATGATCAGAACCTCATGAGAAGGCACACTGAATCAGAACCTCATGATAAGGCACACTGGATCAGAACCTCATGACAATACATACTAGATCAGAATCTCATTAGATTTCAGAGTTGATCAGAACCTCATGAGAGGCACACTGGATCAGAACCTCATGAGTATAAACACTGGATCAGTACCTCATGAGAATACACACTGGACCATACCTCGTGAGTATGCACACTTGATCAGATCCTCGTGAGAATACACAGATGATCAGAACCTCATGAGAAGGCACACTGAATCAGAACCTCATGATAAGTCACACTGGATCAGAACCTCATGAGAATGCATACTAGATCAGAATCTCATTAGATTGCAGAGTTGATCAGAACCTCGTGAGAGGCACACTGGATCAGAACCTCATGAGAATGCACACTAGATCAGAACCATATGAGAATGTACACTGGATCAGAACTTCATGAGAAAGTACAGTCGATCAGAACCTCATGAGTATACACACTAGATCAGAACCTCATGAGTATACACACTGGATCAGAACCGCATTAGTATACACACTGGATCAGAACCTCACGAGTATACACGTTGGATCAGAACCTTATGAGAAGGCACACTGGATCAGAACCTCATGAGAATACACACAGGATCAGAACCTCACCAGAATGCAAACCGAATAAGAACCTCATGAGAATGCTCACTGGAGAAGAACCTCATGGCAATGCACACTGGAGAAGAACCCCATGAGAAGGAACACTGATCAGATCCATATAAGAATGACACTGAATAAAAATTTCATGAGGATGCACACTGGATCAGAACCACGTGAGAATGCACAATTGATCATAACCTCATGAGAATACACACTGGATCAGAACCTTTAGAGAATGCACACTGATCAGAACCACATGAGAATGCACATTGGATCAGAAACTCATGAGAATGTACACTTGATCAGAATCTTTAGAGAAGGCACACTAATCAGAACCACATGAGAATGTACACTGGATCAGAACCTTAAGAGAATGCACACTGATCAGAACCTCTTGAGAAGGCACAGTGGATCAGAACCTCATGAGAATGTACACTGGATCAGAATCTTATGAGAATGTACACTGGATCAGAACCTCATGAGAAGGCACACTGGAACAGACCTCGTGAGTATGCACACTTGATCAGAATCTCATTAGAATACACAAAGGATCGGAACCTCATGAGAATGCACACTGAATCAGAACCTCATGAGAATGTACACTGGATCAGAACCTCATGAGAATGCATACTAGATCTGAACCTCACTACATTGCACAGTGGATCAAAACCTCATGAAAATCACACTAGATCAGAATCTCATGAGAATGTACACTGGATCAGAACCTCATGAGAAAGCACACTGAATCAGAACCTCATGAGAAGGCACACTAGATCAGAACCTTATGAGAATGTACACGATCAAAACCTCATGAAAAAGTACACTGGATCAGAACCTCATGAGTATACACACTGGATCAGAGCCTCATGAGTATACACACTGGATCAGAACCTTATGAGAATGCACACTTGGTCAGAAACTCACGAGAATTTACACTAGATCAGAACCTCATGAGAGTACACACTGGATCAGAACCTCATGAGAATGCACACTGGATATAACCTTATGAGAATGCACACTTGGTCAGAAACTCACGAGAATATACACTGGATCAGAACTTCATGAGTATAAACACTGGATGAGAAGGCACACTGGATCAGATCCACATGAGAATGCACACTGAATCAGAATCTCTTGAGATGGCACACTTGATCAGAGCCTCATGGTAAGGCACATTTGATCAGAACCTCATGGGAAGGCACATTTGATCAGAACATCATGGGACGGTACACTGAGTCAGAACCTCATGAAAAGGCACACTGGATCAGAACCTCATGAGAAGGCATACTAGATCAAGACCTCATTAGATTGCACACTGGATCAGAACCTTATGAGAATGCACATTTGATCAGAACCTCATGGGAATGCACATTTGATCAGAACCTCATGGGAAGGCACACTGAGTCAGAACCTCATGAGAAGGCACACTGGATGAGACATGCATTAGATGAGAATGCATACTAGATCAGAACCTCATGAAAATGCATACTAGATAAGAACCTCATTATATTGCACAATGGATTAGAACCTCATGAGAGGCACACTGGATCAGAAGCTTATTAGAATGCATACCAGATCATAACCTCATTAGAATGCACACTGGATCAGAACCTCTTGAAAATGCACATTTGATCAGGACCTCATGAGAAGGCTCACTGAATCAGAACCTCATGAGAAGGCACAATGGATCAGAACCTCGGGTGGCACACTGGATCGGAACCTCATGAGAGGCACACTGGATCAGAAGCTCATTAGAATGCATACTAGATCATAACCTCATTAGAATGCACACTGGATCAGAACCTCATGAGAATGCACATTTGATCAGAACCTCATGAGAAGGAACACTGAATCAGAACCGCATGAGAATGCATACTAGATCAGAGCCTCATTATATTGCACAGTGGATCAGAACCTCAAGAGGCACACTGGATCAGAACCTCATGAGAATGCACACTGGATCAGAACATCATGAGAAGGCACACTGAATCAGAACCTCATGAGAATACACACTGGATCAGAACCTCGTGAGTTTGTTAAAGTTGTTGATGAATCATATGTCCCATGACGTTCAATGTAGCGTGTGCTTGTATTTGCTGTCCTTCTTTTTTCTGCGACCAAATTTAAGCATTTTTTTCAGCACGATATCCTTCTTTGGTGCTGGTCATTAAAGAAACCCAGGATGAATCATCAGCGTATGTCCTTGACACTGACATTTGAAAGTAAAAGTTAAATATTCTTAATGCTATTGTTATAAACTATAACATAACAAAAATATAAGAAAAATAGAAAATAATCACAAATATGTTTTATACATAATTAATTTTTCTTGTCAGCTAAGCTATTTCTTAGTACATATATATCATTAATCCCCTATATAACGATAATTTTAGTTATGTCATAACCATTAAATGTAAACATGAATGTATATTTCCTCATCAGACATTTTGTTGAAAGTTGGAACTATACTCTCTAGTTCCCGAAAAAGTATGTGCCTACGTTTTTAGAGACATTTATATACATACGTTAGATATGTCTCTGGTTTTTTCTAAAATTTGACATTTTAAAGCAAAATGATATTCATCTTAAACCCCCTTTTTACAGAAAGGACAAAATCTTTTTTTCCAGTGGTAATTTACGGTGTTTACCCTGTTCAATATTAAGATTACTATAACTTAATCTTATTTTAATGAAACATGATGACAAAAGTTCGGAATACTGTATATTTGACCATTAAAATTCCAACAGGAAGTGTTTAGATAGAATAGAGAATAACTAATGAAAAGAGGAAAATGAGCAAAAAAGTAATGAAAAGAGAAAAATGAGAAGAAAAAAAGATAAGAATGGACAGGAACCTATGTATGTTAGATATACTGTTCCCAGGGATGGAGAACAATGATGTTCAAAAGTATAAAGAATAACTGTGGAACATCAGAGACATATAATGTATTATATGTCTCTGGGAACATTAAGAACGGCAGACGATTCTCAAAAACGATTCAGTAGCAGGACCAACAGTAATAAAGTCATTCATCAAAGATTCAAAACCAATATCCGTAAACACTCTTTCTCTGTTAGAATTGCTAAAACCTGGAACAAATTACCAGATAAAATAACAAAGTCACCATCAATAAATGCATTTAAAAACCGATTAGACAAATTTTGGTCAGACGAAGAGATATACTATAATGACTACAGAGCAGAAATATCCGGAAGTCACGGACAAAACAGTAATAGAAAAACATTAAATTATGAGTCTGGTGAAGAGGAACCTTGAGGGATCCTGTACTGGAAATCAACTATAAGTAACTATAAGTAATTAAAGAATTAGGCAATACAATACCAGAGATAAATTGCGCAATCGCACACCTGTGAATCCACAGTCACAACTCTAAGGAAATAATGACCGGAAAATCGGACACACATAATTTTACTGTGTAATTTAGAAGCAAACTTTAGCAAAGAAATGTTTCTTGTAATATCATGATCATTACCAGATTTTACTTTTTAAATTAAAAGAAATGCCGAAAAAAAGAAAACACCTTTCTCAATCAAATACATTAAAAAAAAATACAACTATTTCAAGTAGTTTTTTAGAGAAAGAATTTATTTGATCTGAAATAAGTTTTCCTATTACTTTTCTTGATTAGCTATCGAGGTTATTCATCCCTGACTTGTCTTCATGTTGTAGAATAATTATCGACGAGCATCTCATTCCGGGCCGCGTTTTTAACGGGATTTCACGGAGTTGCCAATCTCTGTGTATATATGTCTCTGACAATACTGAATACAGAATAATGAAATCCTCTAGTTAGAGCAAAAATAAATAGTAATCATCATCGAGCCATTTTAATGAGAATTTTACAGAATAAGGGTAGTTTTTAAAGATAACTTGAGCCGGACAGAGACATATATAATACAACCAATTATAATATTTATATGTCTCTGCTTGAGATAAACGACCTCAAATTTAATAAAGAATACAAAAATTAAAGACCATCACCACCCTCATACAATATAGATTAATTACAAATAAAAGTGACATGATTTCCATTTCATTCATTCATATGCAATCCGAATTTTCTATAAACCAGAGACATATATACACATATGTATATATGTCTCTGACCAAACCAAAACATTCTTTTTTCAAACGGCGTATATTTATACTCTCTCATCTATATGAGTGTTTAGCTTTTTACATGTTTACCTATTCTGCAACTCCCATATTTGATTCTATATTAAAATAATAATAAAAAAAAAACAATCATTGTTCACCAAATTTCAAGGAAGATAAATTGAATAAAGTGCACCCATAGTAAGTTATTTAAAAAAAAACTCGACATATTTCGGATCTGCATACCAAACCGTCATTTGTAATGAATTACAATGCTGCATTAACTTCCGTGTTATTAAAAGGTGAAAAAAAGCAGAGTAAATAAGCCGACCGTGCGATGGCTTTATAGCCAGTCAAGGTCGTTAAAAACCCCCCTAAGTAAACACTCTGAAGACCGCTGGCACAGGCTAGAGAAAATTTAAGGTTCATGTGGACCTTTTGGCTAAAATGGCTGCATTTTCACCTCAAAATTTACTCTTCAGTACAGACAAACATGCAAACCTGTGTATCTTGAAAAGTATTAAGGCATAGCATGCCCAAGATAGATAAAATTCAATATATTTTATGTTTTAGAAAATAAAAACTTAACAGGATTTTGCAGTGCACTTTTTTTCATTCCGCCAGAAGGATGAGAAGGTGCCAAAATAAGTTGTGAAAGAGGTTTGAGAACTTCCCCACAGACATGACACAGGGGCAGATCCAGCCATTTTTAAAAGGGGGGTTCCCAACCCAAGATAAAGGGGAGGTTCCAACTATGTCCCCATTCAAATGCATTTATCGTCAAAAAAAGGGGGTCGTCCAACCCCGGGAACCCCCCTGGATCCGCCACTGATGACAGGTAATAATTGAAGTGAACTGCATTGATTGACATCAGTCAAGGGTGTAACTTGAATAAGTTATTAGAGAAAAATAACATACATGTGTTATTACGGATACTTTCTCTTAATCTGTAGTAACATATGTTTGTTATCAGCTAAATGTACCATAAATTTTTTTATTTTCAGTGGGCACTTGGGAATTCTTGAAACTTGCGCAGTACCTTAATACATAACCTTGAAAACTAATTTTCCAATTCAATTAATACATTTTTGATCAACCATGGTAAATCAATGAGACAAGGCTTTTAAGTGATAACTTAGCTGTAATAACAAGGCTTAGTTATTACAGGCATTTACAATTGTAACTTATTACATGAGACACTTGGGAATGACTAGGAAGCTTGCGCAGAACCTCATTACATGCTCTTATCATTATTTATTACAATAAATTAAAATACATTGTGATATATGTAGGAGAAAAGGCTTTGAAGAGATGTAGAGAAGCTGTAATAACACCCTTTAGTTATTACAGGCATATTTTTTCTGTGATAACATGGGTGTGTTATGCATGATTGGCAAACTAGGGGCTGTTATATCTTTCTAAAGTTTAATATACATAAAGACAATTATAATATCAATAGAGCTAGTACACAATTTAACAAAATTAAGGATGTATAATGCCCCTTTGAAACGTAACATACATATGTTATTACAGATTTTTGATTTTTTAGCCCTCAATAACAAATGTATGTTATTTTTCTCTAATAACTTATTTAAGTTAGACCCTTGGCTGGACATGGACAATAGATACCTGACTATAATTGGTGATTTAAACTGTGGACCACATCAAGTGAAACTCAACTGTTTGTTAATTTCATCATCTTCTGCAGGGATGAAAAAGGTGCACTGCAAAACCAGTTAAGTTTTAAATTTTCTAAAACATACAATGCATTTGAATTTTATTTATCTAGGGCATGCTATGCCTTAAAACTTTTCCAGATGCACATGTTTGTCTGTACTCCTGAGTAAATTTTGAGGTGAAAACGCAGCCATTTTAGCCAAAGGGTCCACATGAACCTTAATATCACCAACACTTATCAACAACTAAAAGTGAAAAAAAAAAAAAAAAAACTTTCCACAAATACTGTACATAAAGTTGACAGTGAAATGCTGTGAACTCATTTTTTATTTTTAGGGTTCCTGTGAACCCCTAACATGCCTAAATTGCTAAAATGGCTTTTGTTTTCACCTCAAAATATATTCTGAGTACATGGAGTACAGACAAACCTGTGTATCTGAAAAAGTCTAAAGGCATAACATGCCCAAGATAAATAAAATTCAAATGCATTTTATGTTTTAGAAAGTTAAAAACTTAATTTAAGGTTCATCATAACAAATGGACAAAAAAGGATGTATTTACACCTCAAAATTAAAACTGCTCTGAGTACAGACTTACCTGTGCATTTTGAAAAGTTTTTAGGCCTGGCATCCACTAGATATATAAAATTTAAGAGTATTTTGTGATTCAAAAAGATAAAATCTTTTTTGGATTTTGATTGGCATTTTTTTCTGAATTACATTTGATACTGTCCACTCAGTTACACCCTTTACTCACCTATTGTTGTGTAGATATCTATTATCCTTCTATTGTCCAATTCAATCAAGGTCAATCAATACAATACCGTTGTAACCTGAGAGTGAGAGGGAGCATCTCAAAGATTCAATAGGTTGGGGACAACCTGCCAAATAGGGAACTATTCCCCAAATGAGTAACAATTCCTCATTTGAGTAATCATTTAATAGTGCTAAAAAATAAAATTTTCTAAAATGAGTCTTTTTTTCTTAAAATGGCACATATTCATAAAAAATGCAGCAAATTTTCCAAAAGATGAATAGACCTACATTTTGTATCTTGACTTACTGAGAAGTTACAAGCCTATGAAAACTTCGAAAAATTTACAATTTTCAAGGCCTCTAACTTTTTAAAAACCCATAATAAAAATATTGTTCTTTGGAAGAAGTTGTTTCATTTTCTATAAATTTGTGCCATTTTATGTAAAAAGACACATTTTAAGGAAATTTTGTTTTTATCACTATTAAATGATTACTCAAACATGTCAAATGAGGGATTGTTACTCATTTTGGGAATATTTCCCCATTTGGCGGGTTGTCCCCAACCTGTTCAAACCAACTTAATTTATTTTTACACCTTCTGCAGGAACAGAAAAAAATGCCCATCAAAATCCAAAAATGATTTCATCTTTCTGAAACACAAAATGCATTTAACTTTTAAATATCTATAGGATGCCAGCCCTTAAAACTTTTCCAACTGCACAGGTTAAGGACTCAGAGTAGTATTTGAGGTGTAAATACAGCCATTTTTGTCCATTGAACCTTAGGAATAAGGTTCATCATAACCTTTTGGCTAATATTACTAATATGACCCTATTTACATCACATATTTTACTCTGAGTACAGACAAACATGTGCACATGGAAATCTTTAAGGCATATGAGGATCTATAACCCATTCATTTAATTATAATTTATTTTTCTCTATTCTGTAAACCTCATTCAGACCATGATACAGGTGATAGGCTTCAGATGTTATATCCCTTTATCAGAAGATAAACTAAGTTGATAATTTCCATTAGCATCTGAAGATGTTTTTTTCCCTAATTCATATGTAATTCAAATTTACTCAACCATTTATGAATTACCAAAAGTCAATGCTATGAACAGGCATCCTTATAAATCTAAAGATAGTTAAGTTTTAACATATAAAATTGATGAAATTACATCATGTACATGTCATAAATGTATATAAAAAGAAAAAAAACTTGGTATACCAAATAGTGCTGTGGTATACTATAAGATGCTACTTGATCCCTGTTATTTGGCACTGTTTTTTTTTAATTACTGTGGATTCATTATTATTCGTTGGATACCAATTTTCGTGGGTAAAGGTGAACCACGGAATCTAATGTTCAACGAATAACAAATTTCCATTAGGCTTGTATGCAGACTTCAGCAAAACCATGAAATTAAATATCCATGAACATGCAAGTTTTCCTGAATCCACGAAAATTGGTACCCACGAAAATAAATGAATCCACAGTAATTTATATTTATTCATTTCAGGTAGAATGTAATTCTCTTACAAGTGAATCTTTGATAATGTCCAGAATAAATATACAAGTAGGTGGACATAGAGATACAGTTTTAATAACACTACACACCTTCCAACAGAAAGAAACTCTTTGTGATGTCAATATTCAAACAAAAGATGGACAGGTTAAAGGGCACTCAGTAATTCTGGCATCTTGTGCAAGTGCAGTATTATGCAATCAAGTATTCACTCAAAGAAACAATGGTATGAATTCTATCATCTATATTAACTGCCCTCAGTTCACAAGACGTGACGTAAATTCTGTATTACAATTTCTTTACCTTGGTGTAATTAACATCGACACAGAACATGTTGAAGGCTTTCTAGCTTTATGTTCAGCATGGCAACTTCAATTGGCTGCTTCAATGATAGAATATTATTTGAAGCAAAACTGCAGGAATATAAACGAAGCTGTCAATTGTATGAATCTATCTATGCAATATGATTCAACCAATCAGCCATCTACAAACAGCCAATCAGGAGTCAATTGTATGAATCTATCTATGCCATATGATTCAACCAATCAGCTGTCTATAAACAGCCAATCAAGAGTCAATAGTTTGAATCTATCTATGCCATATGATTCAACCAATCAGCCATCTACAAACAGCCAATCAGGAGTCAATAGTATGAATCTATCTATGCCATATGATTCAACCAATCAGCCGTCTACAAACAGCCAATCAGGAGTCAATTGTATGAATCTATCCATGCCATATGATTCAACCAATCAGCCATCTACAAACAGCCAATCAGGAATCAATAGTAATGTTTCTGCATCACTAGGCGTAAAACCAAATTTGACTGTCCCAAGACTAGTACGATCAACAAATGGAACTACTCAGCTGCAGACCACAAACAGTCAACATTTAACTTCCAATGAAACAATGGTGGACAAAGGATCCGGATCCTTCACATATATAAAACCAAATGTCTCTTCCTTTACAAACCAAGTGTCTAATGATGGAACTTTGTCAACAAAGTTTCCTCAGGAATGGTCCCTTCGTCTGAAGGATGGTTTACCGTCAGTTAACGGAAATCATGAGACTATGGATCAGTATGGTAAACCTTCAGGTAATCTTCTGTTACGATCAGTACTGGAGAAAGATGGTACCCGTCTCAGTACAAACAATCAAGTAAAGTACAGCCTCAGTGATACAAATTTATTTACAGATGTTTCTCAGATACAAACAGTTTGTCACGATCGGGAACAATCTAATATACTTTCAGATACAAAAATTCTTGTGGTAGAACCAATTTGTACAGAACAATTAAGCTCTCAATCAACCTTAGATTTGCCAAATAAACCCTTGTTACAACTACAATGTGAAGAAGAAGAACCATTTGTGAAAACAGAGCAAGCATATTGTTCAGGGTACTCTTCAAATTTACCATTAGTACACACAAAGGGAGATAACTGCTTAGTAAATGATTTTACTATGAACGCAATTATGCTACAGAAAAATGAAATTCAAAAACAGGCACAATCTATACTTAATCAGACTAATTCTAGTCTTATTGATGAACAATTTCAAATTGTTGAAAACCAGTTTATATCAAATCGGAAGGAGCAAATGACAGTAAACGTTACAGACAACTGGTATGAATCAAGTCACATCTTTGACCAGATACCAGTCAATGATGCTTTAAATACTTCAAATTCTAATCAGGATCAAGCCCAGATTATTGAAAATCCATATAGTTCAAATCATAAAGAGGAGGCTCAAGTTATTCAAAATCAAAACATGTATATTGTTGATGGTAATTTAGCTTCTGTGTCAAACAATAACATAAGTGTTATGAACACAAAAGATAGAAAAAATTACACAAAACTCGAAGAGTACAGTAAAAAATTAAAATATACAGAAAATATACAGAAAAACTTCATAAGGAAAAGAAAAAATACCAGAAAGACCACTAATGGTAAAAAAGACAAATCTGTTAGAAGAAAAACTAAAAACAAAGTAGAAAAAGCTCTCTGTAACCCTACTGAATCAGCTATGAAAATGGATGATACAAGTAAGGTCTCCCTGGAGTTAACAGATCATTCTGAAAACATTGATAATATAGAGCTAGCACGTCAGATAAAGATAAGGAAACAGAAATGTAGAAAATGTGACTATCGTTACACTTCAGGAGACCAATCTTATAGACAACATTGGCTAGAAAACCACCAAAACCAATATCAATGTCAAGATTGTGATTGGGTTGGACCATGGAAACGGGATCTGGCTAAACACATGTACAGAAAACATAATGAAACCGTAGCATGTCCTGAGAGATATCCATTGAAGAAATGTACATTTCAGGTATAATGTGTTAAGTTTTCATTAAAATAACCTTATATGTCCAGGTTTTGTTTCCAGGATCTGACAACACATGGTTCTATTTTCTGTTTAGCTACTGTAGATTCAGAAATTATTGCATGCATTTATTATTGCGATTTTGTTTTTTAGACTAAAATGCGATTTTAATTTTTGCGATATTGAGAAAAATCCTGTTTAATTCATATAAAAATTTCAAAATGCGAGTTAAAATTATTGCGATTATAACCCTGTCGCATTTTTCGCAATAATTTACAGTAATCATTAAGTCGGTGGCAGAGTGGTCTAAGTAGTCGAACAACTGTATGACTAGCCTGTCAACACTAAGGTTGTGAGTTCGAATCCCACACATGTCAGGTGTGATCGACTCCAATCTTATTTGACTAGGATTGTCAGTTTTCCACCCAAATGTCAGTTGTTCTCTCCAGGCACTCCAGCTTCGACTGTGCTGAGGTTGGTTTAAAAAAAGGAGATGTGGTTTGATTGCCAATGAGACAACTATCCACCAAAGTTCAAATAAAGTGGATGTTAGCAATTATAGGCAACCGTACAGCCTTTAACAAGAAAAAAACCATACCATATATTCGTCTGTAAAAGTCTCTGACTTGAAAAATTTGAAACAAATCAATTGAGAAAACTAGTGGCCAAATTTGTAACAAAAAGATTACTAAAAACAAATATGACAGACATGAACTGACAACCACTAAACTACAGGCTCCTGACTTGGGACAGGCACATATAGAACATGTAGAATGTAGCTGGGTTTAACTGGTTTGAAGGCACCAACCCTTCCCTTAACTATTTTGCCCATTTTCTTACAATTACAATGATAAATACACACAATAATTTCTGAATTTAAAGAATATATCTTTACTCTCAGGGCTGTTCCAGAAAATACTATGTCGGCCCAGGGAAGGCATTTTTTAAAAATTTTATGTATTTGAAATACCAAAATGCAAAAGGAGTGTTGTTCTAATTTATTTTTATTTCTGTGGGCAGTGGGGGCTAAAAAAAGTGCCATCCCTTGGGTGGGGGGGGGGGGGGGGCATAGTATTTTCTGGAACAGCCCTCATTATCCTGAGTGTTGATAACAGTTATTACAATGTATAAACAGTACATGAATATTATGTAAATTGAATTTTTGTGTGAAAATTATTTTGTTTTTTTAACAGGGCTGCAATTATACAACTCTTTCATTATTTATGCATATTCATGTCAAAGGGCATGTTAAAAAGAAACAGACAAAAAGAATGTGTGAAATTTGTGCAGCAACATTGGGCTGCGAGGCTTCATTACAAAGACACATCAAATTACAACATTCAGGTTCTAAAGTCAAAGCATGCATCATTTGTGCTAAGAAATTTGAATGCAAAATGGATTTAAAGGTAAGTGCATCTTATGTTACCATGGAAACCATAAAGATCCCATAGCAGACTGAATATAAATAAGATGTGGTATGAGTGCCAATGAGACAACTCTCCATCCAACTCACAATGTATAAAAAGTTAACAATTATAGGTCAAGGTACGGCCTTCAACACAGAGCCTAATGGTTCACACCAAACAGCAAGCTATTAAGGACCCCAAAATGACTAGTGTAAAACAATCAAACAGGAAAACCAACGGTCTAATGCATGAAATACAGATTTAAAAATTGTTTCAGTCAGGGGAACTACTTATTTTAAGTTCGATTCAAAATTATCTTCAATAATTATTTTGGATTACCTTCCTGTTAAATTCTTTCCATTGGTTAAAATAATTTTAATGTGAAAATCAATTAGTTGAGGCTGGCTTGATAGTTTTTCAGACTTTATCACTACTATTGAGATTATGTAAACAAAACATAGTGCATTGTTCATTTGCATCTTGCATGCATCATTAAAAGCCTGGTATCTTTGATACATTTTTTTTTTCACAGTTCAGACCATACTCTACATCCTATCAATGAGATTTTTCAATGAAATATATACTTGAGGATATTCAAGTTACAAAATCATGTGTATAACCATACTTTTCAAGAAATTGTATTAGTTTAAACAGTATTTATTAATGAAAAATTACAACAATAGAGTATTACAATGTTACATGAAATTTAAGTATGGGATTCAGAAATAAGTTTGGAAAAACTTTTATAAATCCGCATTGAAATTGCATTAATTGTGCATGGTGTATGAAGCTATTATCTGTTCTAAAACATCACTGTTGTTTAGACACCTGTCTGTTGGTGAAAACTGGTTGTTGATTCTTGATGACTTTAAGGTATATTTGTTTGTTTGAGATTTAAGACACATATGATAATTTCCTGAGTCCGCACAGAAGCCCATATGTTTAGCATTTAAATCCATACAAATGTATTTCTAGAGAATGATGTACATTAATTTAAAAGTGAGAAGAAGTGGTATGATTGCCAATGAGACAACTCTCCAAAACAGACCAATGACACAGTAATTAACAACTATAGGTCACCATATGGCCTTCAGCAATGAGAAAAGCAAATACGGAAAAGTAAGCTATAAAAGGCCTCGAAATGACAAATGTAAAACAATTCAAACGAAGAAAGTAATGACCTAATTAATGTTTATCACTAATTATATCCATGGAAATTTATTTCAGAAACATATGATATCTACACATGGAAGTCCTTTTGTTTGCCACTTATGTCCATACAAAGCAACTGCATCTTACAATTTGGATTTACATCTACACAAGAAACATGGAATTGAAATGAAATATAAAAAGTAAGTTTAATTTTTAAAGATAACAGAAAAATACTTGCAGAAATATTGTGAATTTTGACATAAGAGCGCCTCTATGTCGTGCAAAACTTTCTCCATTAACTGTAAAATGTCATGAATATGCATTTAGCTTGCCTCTGGATGTTAAGGGGGTACCCAACACCTTGACTTAAATTAATTTGGCATGTTCAATTTTCATAAAATTTTGACAGAATATTTACTTTGACCCTTTGACAAAAATATGAAAATTTCAAAAACTTGAACCACACACTTTATCAGAAAATTTGGTTGGATATATAGCAGTTTGACAAACACTAATTTTGATCATTGAGAAGCTTAATATTTCCTTAAAAGGGCACTAGCTGTCAAATTCATGTTCACCGATTTGACTCAAATTCTCATATTTGATTTATAACAATGTAAAACATTTATCCAAATTATAAAAAGTCTAAAATAAACAAGTTACAGGGTAGCTTCGTTTCGTGTGTATTTTTAGTCTAGACGCCATCTAATTACCTATTGAGTTGACCTCCGATGGTCATATAAGTGATATAAACATAAATATATATATAAAGATAAGGAACTCGTGCAATTGGATTTTTCTAGGTCTGTTTAATTTCATATTATAGATTAAAAATAGAATAATTTTTTGTGGATCGAATCAGTCAATCAAATGATTTACCTTTGTTTCACTTTCAATGTTGACATTCTTTTCCTTTAAAAAACTTAAAACGCACAATTCATGCGTTATCCATTTCTAGCTAAGGGGTCAAATTGAAGTTCACATGAATACAGATTTAATGAGGTCGAATTATTCACATGCTAGTGAATAATTCATCATCGATGTTTCTGAGCTTATTTTGACAAAATCGAACCATACTGGCTGCTAAAAGCGAATTATTATTTCACTATTTCACTTTTATTAATGATAGAACAAAAAAAAATCATGGTTTAGATTTTTTATATATCTCGTAGCTAGTGCCCCATTAACAATAGAATGTGATTATAAGGTTCAGATGATTTTTATAGAGTTATCTCCCTGTAGTGTTATGTACCACCTTAAAGTATAATTGGCAATTTGTACAGCTTTCCTTTGATCCTACTGCTAATATTTGTTTAGATCATGATAAGGACTTGATACTGGAAATATTAGGCAATGATGTCATGTATCAGTGTAGGAACGTTGTGTGTTCAGGTTTATTTGCATCAAATTATCAATGAAATGCACACGACTTCATTAGGGGAGTCAGTTAAAATTGATAGCATGTTTTTGTCTGTTTTAGTTAAGTCAGTTTAAATTGATATTATGTTGTCTGTTTAAGTTAAGTCCATTTAAATTGATATCAAATTGTTGTCTGTTTAAGTTTAGTCAGTTTGAAATGATATAATGTTGTCTGTTTTAGTTAAGCCAGTTTAAATTGATATCATAATGTTGTCTGTTTTAGTTAAGCCAGTTTAAATTGATATCATAATGTTGTCTGTTTTAGTTAAGCCAGTTTAAATTGATATCATAATGTTGTCAGTTTTAGTTAAGCCAGTTTAAATTGATAAAATGTTGTCTGTTTTAGTTAAGCCAGTTTAAAATGATATAATGTTGTCTGTTTTAGTTAAGCCAGTTTGAAATGATATAATGTTGTCTGTTTTAGTTAAGCAAGTTTAAATTGATATCATAATGTTGTCTGTTTTAGTTAAGCCAGTTTAAATTGATATCATAATGTTGTCTGTTTTAGTTAAGCCAGTTTAAATTGATATAAAGTTGTCTGTTTTAGTTAAGCCAGTTTAAGTTGATTTCATATTTTCTTTTTTAGGTTTGTTTGTGACCAATGTGATTTTTATTGCTTCAGAATAATTCAGCTAAATCAACACAAATTGATCCACACTACCAGTACATTAGCATGTATGTAATTGATACACACTACAAGTTCTTTTACACATATGTAATTGATATACACTACAAGTTCTTTTACATGTTTGTAATTGATACACACTACAATTTCTTTTACATGTGTGTAATTGATACACAATACAAGTTCTTTTACACATATGTAATTGATACACATTACAAGTTCTTTTACACATATGTAATTGATACACACTACAAGTTCTTTTACATGTATGCAATTGATACATACCAACAGTACATAAACATGTGTGTAATTGATCAACACAACTAGTACATTAACATGTACATAATTGATCCACACTACAAGTACATTAGCATGTATGTAATTGATACACACTACAAGTTCTTTTACACGTATTTAATTGATCTACACAACCAGTACATTAACATGTGTGTAATTGATCAACACAACTAGTACATTAACATGTATGTAATTGATCCACACTACCAGTACATTAACATGTATGTAATTGATCCACACTAACAGTACAATAACATGTTTGTAATTGATCCACACAACCATTACATTGACATATATATAATTGATCCACACAACCAGTACATTGACATGTATATAATTGATCACACTACCAGTACATTAACATGTATGTAATTGATCCACACTAACAGTACAATAACATGTACGTAATTGATCCACACTACCAGTACATTAACATGTATATAATTGATCCACACTAACAGTAGAGCAACATGTATATAATTGATCCACACTACCAGTACATTAACATGTATGTAATTGATCCACACTAACAGTAGAGCAACATGTATCAGTGATTTTTCTAGTGCTCCTCATTTTCATCATTTACGAAACTGTTTTCAAAATGTAGGAAATTGATCTACACACAAACAGTACATTAACATATATGTTATTGATCCACACTACCAATACATTAACATGTATATTATTGAAAATTTTACCTTTAGATATACTGTATGTCTTCATAATTATACTATCAAAGTTTCAAAAAAGCAAAAAGGTTAATTTTTTTGGATTTTTCAAATATACAAATCAAGATTTTAGCATATAAAAATGTTTCAAATTATTCAGCACAATACTACTGCAATGCTTATTATGACACCATTGGCACACAAACACATGTATACAGGATCAATTTAGTTTTGTTAATACATGAAAATATCCCTGGCTTTGATTTTGATATTTTATGTAGAAATAAAAAAAATGCTGAATGCAATTTGGCGGATGAATATGGCTGGATATTATATAAGACAAAATAAGGATGTACTTAGGTGAAATTAAAAAAATCTATAATTTAAAATTGATACTATAAGTCGGAAGAGCATAAGTTATGGAACAAAATAAGCTAAAAATGTTGATAGGTTTTGGAGCTCCTTTTCGAGATATTTGATTTTTTAAAAATAGCAAGAAAAGGCTGATTTGGACTTTTACCTTATATTTGCATTGGTATTATTTGGGTCTCAAACCGAAAGAAAAGAACTCTAGAAACTGCTCAAATTTTTATAAATGACCTTTTATGAGCTATGTAAGTCTTATATGAAAAGAAAAATGGGTGTTATGGGGCAAAATATTTTACCCTGTATTGAAGGGAAAAAAACCAAGGAGTCCGAACATCTGACACAAATTCCTAAACCTCACCTAAGTACATCCTTAAGTCGTCATATGGTTTATCAAAATTTATCAAACTGGTCAGGACCAGCTATAACACAGACAGAATGAGAGCAAGATATTTATTTATTTTGACAACATTAATCATGTTCATTTGACAAATCATTGAAACTTCATTCTTTCTGATGGCCTGCAGCTGGGTAAAGTAGAACATTAAAAACGTCAAGTTGCATGAAAAAGTTTTGAAATCTTCTGAATTAAACATATTCTTTTGGGAAAATGATTACTAGAAATTGATTACATCTTTATTTTTTTTACAGTGGAACAGTATAAATGCTCAAAATGTAAGAAGACATGTAAAAGTAGTGTAAGTTTGCGTCAACACATACGTAATGTGCATTCATGTGAGTATTTAGATGTATGACTTTAAAAGAAAGATAAAATATTGAAAGTACTGACAATTTACAATTTTTATATTGGGGGTAATTGCCCCAAACATGCAGGACTAAGGGGTAAAAAAAGGGCCAAAAACAAACATTTTTCTAGTTTCCAGACAACAACTTGTGTTTAAGTGAATGGATCTCTCTGAAATTGTACTACAAGGTTTCATACTACAAAGGAAAGGCTGGGATTGAGTTTGGGGGTAATTGCTCTAAGGAGGGATTCAAAAAGTTTAGGGAGGGGTGGATTTTATTTATGGGGTTCATATTTTTTTATCAAAATTTTTCAAATTTCAAATTTTTGAAAAGTTTCAAAAAGAAAGAAGAAACCTTCAATTGCACAGTATTGTGCAATAGATTTGTAAGATCTTTGACCACATTTATTTTGTGTCAGAAACCTATATAATGTCAAAAATTTGATCACAATCCAAATTCAGACCGTATCAAGCTTGAACATTGTGTCCAAATTTGCCCCAACTGTTCAGAATTCGACCTCAGAGGTCTTTCAACAATAGACAGATGTCTTCATGGCTTTCACTTGCCACAAAGACTGATCTCCATCAATGGACAGATGTCTTCATGGCTTTCACTTGCCACAAAGACTGATCTCCATCAATAGACAGATGTCTTCATGGCTTTCACTTCCGACAATGTCTTCATGGCTTTCACTTGCCACAAAAACTAATCTACAACAGTAGACAAATGTCTTTTCATTTGCCACAAAAACTTATCTTCATCAGTAGACATGTCTTCATGACTTTCACTTGTTACAAAAAAACGTATCTTCAACAATAGACAGTTGTCTTCATGGCTTTCACTTGCCACAAAAACATATCTTCAACAGTAGACAGATGTCTTCTTGGCTTTCACTTGCCAAAATAACTAATTGTCAACAATAGACAAATGTCTTCCTGGCTTTCACTTGCCACAAAAACTAATCTTCAACAATAGACAGATGTCTTCTTGGCTTTCACTTGTCACAAAAACTAATTGTCAACAATAGACATAAGTCTTCATGGCTTTCACTTGCCACACAAACTTGAAATATTGTAAAGTGTTTTATTTTTTTTTATTTTAACAGCCAAACATGTTTCCAAGGTTTTATTTTCACATTTCTTGTCCTTTATTTTGGAAAAACAAATTTAAGCAAGGGATATTTTTTTGTGTTTTAATTTTAATCATGAGATTAAAAGAAAATAGACCCCTTGATAAAATGTCCTACTTTACAGAATAAAGATCTGTCATCAACAATCCATTCCCTAAATGACAAAAAAACCAGCAACTGAACAGGTTCCTGACAAGGGACAGACACATGTGATGATGTTTTTTTTTAACGACCTTGACTGCCCATGAGGGTTTTGCACAGTTAATCATGTGTGTGCAATTTTTTAGTGTGATTGTTAGTCAATGTACAAAAAACCCCAGATAATGCAAACCAGAAAGTGCTTAGTAAAGATAATGTGATCATGATCTAAAATTTAAAGTTCTAATGAACGTGATGTACATCCATCAAATTTTAATACTGTGGATTCATTTATTTTTGTGGGTAACAATTATCGTGGATTAATAAAACATTGTATTTTTCATGGACATTTGATTTTGTATAAGTCTGTATACAAGCATATAGAAAATGTGTACGTCTTTGAAATCTTAAATTCGTGGTTCACCTATGACCACAAAATCCACAAAAATTGGTATCCAACAAATAATAATGAATACACAGTACTCACTGATGATATTCACTGGATGATATTGGAATTGATAGCATTTTTACGATAAAATTTGTCATCCTAGGCCATGCCAAGTTGGTTAATTGTTCTTTTAATTTTCCTACAAGGAGATTGCAGTGTACCTTAATGAGATAGCAATGAAAAAAATGGAGAATGTGTCCATGGGACATAGGTGATGCCCCTGCTTGCATATTAAGTTATAAAAGAACATAACTTAAGGACGGTAAAAGTGACGCAATCCAAATTCAAACTTGATCTGTGTTTTGTGGTAATAAGTATTGTAGATAAGTTTCATAACATTAGGTTAGAGAATTGAAACTTATTTTGGGACATACTGAAGTATGTTACTACAGACGGACAAGGGTAACACTTAAAGCCCCCTCTGATAAGGTGGGGGCATAAATAGACATCTAGAGAGCAGCATACAGTCTTCAACAATAAACCAGTACTTAACGCTGAATTCTTTTTCAGCAGAGAAAACTAATAGTTTCAAATTAGCATTGAGTTGTGAGCTTTTGCTCTGTGTTGAAGGCCTCTTCAGTGGTTGTCATTTGTTGCTGTATATCATATTTGTTTTTCTTTCATTATTTTGTACTAAATCAGACCATTAGTTTTCTTGTTTGAATTGTTTTACCTCTGTCATTTTTGAACCTTTTATAGCTGACAATATGGTATGGGTTTTATTCATTGTTGAAGGCCCTACGGTGACCTATAGTTGTTAAATTTTTAGTCATTTTGTCTCTTGTGAAGAGTTGTCTCATTGGCAATCATACCACAACTTCTTATTTTTATATTCACTGATATTTAGATGAAGAACAGCAATAAAAGTACTGTTGTGTTTGTGTTGAGATTTGTGTCATACTGTGGATCATTATTATTCGTGGATTTCGTGGTTGAAGGTAAACCACAAGTCTAAATGCTCAATGAGGAGTTAATTTCTATAGGCTAATATGTAAGACAAGGCAAAACCACAAAATCAAATATCCACAGAAATACAATTTTACCTAAATCTGGAAAAATTGGTATCCATGAATATAAATGAATCCATACCAAATAGAAATGTTGAAATCTTACTTTTACATGTTTTGAACACAGAATGGTTTTTATTTGTTTGCAGCTGAAAGATATAAATGCACACTTTGTGACTATGAAGGGAAAACCAAGATAGCTTTAAAAAGACACATGACCAACAGACATTCTGTAAGTAATTATCTGCATGTCAGCTTGTATAGATTTTGATTTTTCCACCTGTCCATCTTTATAATCGTGACAATCATACTTATGTCCATTCAGAATATTTGTACAAATATTAAAAATTCTGTAGCATTTCTTATTGTGAGATTAATTCTTATGATAAAAAAAATATAAGAAGATGTGGTATGATTGCCAATAAGACAACTCTTCACAAGAGAACAAATGACACAGAAATTAACAACTATTGTTCACCCCACAGCCTTCAACAATGAGCAAAACCCATACCGCACAGATGGCAATAAAAGGTCCCAAAATGACAAATGTAGAACAATTAAAACGGCCATATTTATGTACTAAATAATGAATAAAAAACTAACATGTAACACATCAACAAACTACAACCACTGAATCACAGGCTCCTGACTTGGGACAGGCACATACAGGATCACCAAGGTAATATGTCAATGGGGTGATATTTTCACCCAGGTTATATGTCAATGGGGTGATATTTTCACCAAGGTAATATGTCAAGGGTTGATATATTTTCACCAAGGTAATATGTCAATGGGGTGATATTTTCACCAAGGTAGTATGTCAAGGGGTGATATATTTTCACCAAGGTAATATGTCAATGGGGTGATATTTTCACCAAGGTAATATGTCAAGGGGTGATATATTTTCACTAAAGTAATATATCAATGGGATGATATTTTCACCAAGGTAACCTTTGAATTGATCATAAATTTCATCTTCTGATTAGATAACTGTACTAAAATTTAGTTGATATGAATGATTGCAAGTCATTAATCAAAGTTTTATAGATGACTTTCCAATTCATGCAGTTTCCTGGAAATTTCCTTTGTTACAATGCTTATGATATTATATCACAATAAGAACCATTTTTTTCAGTGAGATTCTTTAAACAGATTTACCTTGGGTCAACTGGTGTAACTAATTTATAAAAAAACAACTCGAAATTGGGATATAAACACTAATGAAATTATCTTTTTCAAATTCTATTTTAGTTGTCATAGATTATATACACGATAACTGAGAAATATATGAATTGGTTATGATTTTGCATTGAAAAATATATGGGTGTTTATTTTCAAAAAACCTCACTATTTGTATATCCAAGCAGCAGCCATAATCTTATTGTGAGAACCACCCAACACCCATAGCCCCCCTTGGTAAAAGTATGCCTATGTATAAGAAAATTAATGTGTTAACCTCATATATCTCAGAAACTGTACTAGGAGGGTCGAACTTATTTTCCATGTATGCAATTCCTACAACCAAATAGCATCACATATTTAAATAAAATAAAAATAACCTGAATTTCACAGTTGAGTGAATTAAATGTTAATTACTGTTATTGTAATTACTTTTTATTTTACAGGATGAAAGACCATTTGGTTGCCATTTATGTTCCTACAGATGTAAAATAAGAGAGAATGTGCATTCACACTTGAAACATGTTCACAAACTGAAAGTTGTGACTAGAGCGTCAATGTTTAATAACATGATCAAAACTGGCAAGGGTTTTGATCAGGTTCAGGAAATAGACAAAAATGGAGCACCTCTGTTGATAATGGAACCTGAAGGAAATAGCATGGAAGCACTAGAAACTAAGGGTAACCAGGATAACTTGGACACAGAAGGTACAGAATATTGACAGGGATACAGTCAAAAACAATTGTTACCATGGGAAAAAGTGACATGGAAAGTGAAACCAGTTTAAAAATTAGCAATATAGAGAAGAACACAAAAATGGAGCACCTCTGTTGATAATGGAAACTTAAAGGAAAAAAGCGTGGCAGCACTTGAAACTAAGGGTAACCACCAGAATAACTTAGCTTGGACACAGAAGGTACACAGAATATACATTGATAGGGATACAGTAAAAACAATTGTTACCATGGGAAAGTAAATGCACTTGGTAACCAGAACATCAAAAATGATTTAAGTGATGTGATGGAAAGTGAAAACGGTTTTAAAATTGGCAATATAGAGATATTTCAGAAGTAAAGACATTGACAAGGGAACAGTAGCAAACAATTGTAACTATGGAGATGTTAATTCCATTGGTAACCAGAATATCAAAAATGATTCTAGTGCCAAGGGAGAGTGAAACCAGTTAATAAAATTAGAATAAAGAAATACTTTAATATAATTCTTAAAATTGATAACTTACTTTATACTTTCAATAATATGTGTGGTATGATTGCCAATGAGACAACTATCCAACAGAGACCAAATGATATGTATGTAAGCACCTATCAACTTACAGCCTTTAACAATACATATAATACATGTATTATAAAACGGGAACCTCTGTGGCTGTGTAGTCTTAAGTAGTTGAACTACTGTATCACTAGCCTGTCAACCTAAGGTGAGTTTGAATCCTGCAGGTGGCAGGTGCATTAGACTCCAATCGTTATTGACTAGGATTGTTAGTTTTCCTGCTGAAGCTCATGGTTCTGTCCTGGCACTCTGGCTTCCTCCACCAATAAAAACTGCCTGCTGCGAAATAGCCAATAGTGCTAAAAGTAGTGATAAACACCAATCAATCAATCAATGTATTTAATCAAAGAGCTGATAGCTCTGAGGTGGAAGAAGATGCATAAAAGGTAACTTTAATTACCATGAAAGCAGCCCGCATCAACCCAACCTGCTGTGTCCCATTATTGCTTTAACTAGAGTATGCTTGCTCGTTTCGGAACCCTCATACTGCTGAACAATGCAATAAACTTGAGATGGTTCAGCGTTGGACTGCTAGGTATGCCTGTAATTGTTATCATACCACCAGTAACTTTACAGACATGCTCAATACTCTAAACTGGCCTACCTTACAACAACGCAGACTTAAAACTAGACTCATAATGTTCTGTAAAATTGTTCACCATATTGTCGCAGTACCATCAGAATTACTTATACCAACAGACATTGAAACCCGACAAATTCATCCACAAACTTACAGACAACTTCTTACATCTAAAGACTGTTACAAATATTCATTTTTTCCTATTACAATTAGACAATGGAATTTACTACCTCCAAATGTAGTACTTTCCCCCCATCACTAAATATTTTTAAAGAACAGTTGACACCTACTGTTCTCTACAATATAGAACAGTAAACCTTAGTAGTTATGTAAATAGTTTTAACCAGATGTCATGTTAGTATTTATTTTTGGCACTATTCTTTTGTTTTGTAAATATTTATTTATAATTATCCTACGCATGTGCAGCAGTTAGTAATCATAAAAAATCTGATGGATAACTGGATACCATAAGAAGAAGACGTATTTTTTTCCTTCAAAAATAATATTCTTAAATAATACTCATGTTTCAACCAAAACTGACTATACTAAACATAAAAATCTACAAATACTGTTGATTCAAATTAAATTTTTCTATAATTCCATACATTCGTCTCAGCATGGTCTACTTGATGCAAGCAATTATCATGATTATAGCAGTAATTGATTAGGTTTCACTTGAAAGTTTTTCTGTCACAGGTAGATATAAAAAAAAAGAAAATATGGTATGATTGCCAATGAGACAATCCTTCGCAAGAGAGACAAAATGACACAGAAATTAACTATAGGTCACTGTACGGACTTCAACAAAGAGCAAAGCTCATACCGCATAGTCAGCTATAAAAAGCATATCCTTCCTATGAAAAACTGGCCAGCATAAGTGCGCTTAAAGTAGGGTTTACCAAATCAATCAGTTAATCATGAATTGTTATAGTTGTTAACAGTTGTTTTTTTTTCATTATAAACATATATTACTGAAAAATGCTAAATATATCCAATGTAGATATGTCTCAGGTCTTTTGAGCACTTGTTAACATTTCAAATCCGTTCATTTTCTGTATGTGCTTGACCCAAATCTGGAACCACTAATTTGTGGCTGTTAATCATATTTGTTTTTCATCTAAAATTTTAACACAAAAGTATGATGGTAAGAATGCCCTTTTCCGTCTGGCGTCAAACTGTCATTTTCTGAAATGTTTCATGAAAAATAATATGATTGACAGCAACGAATTACTGGTTCCATACTCAGGGGTCGTAATGGGGTTACCTTCATGACGAATAACGGTAAATGGACTATTTATTTGTTAAATCCAATTTTGATCACTTAAAACCTTAAAAGGTAAGGCAATAAAGGTAATCATTGGGACATTCAGACAATGACCGACAGGAAAACTAGGTACTTTCAACATGGATTCCGCCAACTGACATTAGTTCGTACATTAATATTTCTGTCAACTGACGGTGCATCGTTTGAAGTGTAAAGCAGCAGCAGATTTACGTGTGTGCTTGACTCTTTAATCGCAATAACATACTGAAGTATTCTAACTTTCGTTTTAAAAAACGCTTGTTTTCTAAAACCGTAATATGACTTGATTGCCTTAAACTTTAAGACCTGAACACAGGTGGAACAACTAAATCCGTGTATTTTTGTCAAACTTCATTGAGTTGCAGTCGTACTCTCCGCGAAGATACTCGAAATAACATAAAATGCATTGTTCAATTAATGAAAAATCTGTTTATAATTATTTTGAAACTTTTGGTGCACATGCGAAGATACGTAACCAACGTGGTTTGGATTAACCCGAACAATTCAGTTGTTTTATTCCGATTACTCCAACGAGAAATGGCAGTGGATGGAGGGCGCTGAATCTTTTAAAAAATTTTTAAATTTAGCACCCAATAACGAAATGTAAATATCTGCTAAGTGTTAAACCTGTATCCCAAGTGGGAGTGCTCCGGTATATAACAGGAGGAAAATACCTGTACAGAACATTCAAGTTAGTTTCGGATTATAATTAAATTAACACATGCGTACTACCAAATCTACTTTAAAAACATCCAGTTACAAGTAAATAAATAACGCATGTAAGATGAGATGAAATCTAATAATTAAAATAAATAAAAAGGTAGATATTAAAACATTTAAACATGAGAAATTGTAATACTAATGATAGTGATTATTTTTTCAGGCCTAGCTGTACATTTGTTTTATAAAATGATGCAGATGCTCTTTTACAAACTTAAAACCAATCATGTGTAAACATCGGTGTCAAGATATAGCACGGAAGTTATGAAATTGTAAAGCACAGAAAGGGATACGGCAACACTCCTGGTGACGGTTCAATGATTTTACAGCCGGCAGTATAAGAGTTCAGAAGACTTCAAAGTCTTCTTCCACCAAAAACAGACACACAATAGATCTCCTTCCCTCTACACAATAACTATTTCTATACCACAAAATGGTTACTATTGGCAGATAAAACACTTGGAATATAAAAATAGAAGAAAAAAGTTTATTCAAATTTTATTTTATTTTAAATCTGTTTTTGCATAGTTTCATTTTTAAAATCTATATCATGCTTACAAAAATAATCTACATAAACGAATAAACTAAATTATACAACCATAGTATTCAATAATTGCAATTAATGAAACATAAATATGTGGACAGTGGTAATCATTTTATACTGTAAATTCATTAAAAGTTACAATGTTTATATCATGCCTTAACATTGCAATGGAATAGTTGTAAAATCACATTTTGAATTTTGAAAGCATTATTTTCTGTCCCTTGTTCATCAATACACACAACAATTTTCTGAATTTACACTAGTTGACTAGTGTTTCCTGAAATAGACATACTGTAAAAGCAGAAATTTTCGTGGAGGATTTAATTTCGTTTATTTCGTGGAAAGAATATATCCACGAAATTAAAACCCCCACGAAAATGTAACCTACATACAATATCACTACCATTTCATGGAAACCACGAAATTAAATCCCCATGAAATTTTATATAGAGACAAAACCACGAAATTTTAACCCCACGAAAATTAATGTTTCTACAGTAGCTATCAATTAACATAACTGGAGTTATTTCCCTTGGTTGCCATGTTTGAGAGCAAACTGGTTTATTTTCTCATTTGACTAGACAAATTAAATATGTGTTACAAGCAAGTTGGATAAAAAGATCCTTACTAGGTTGTAGTGATGAAACAAATAAAATTAATCCAGAAAATATTTGTTGTCTAAAATGGAAAAGGGAAATAACTCTTTTCAAATTAAGTCAATTGAAAACTATCTGTTGAAGCACCATACCACCAGAAAATTATATCTCAAACCTGAGCTCAGAACTGACAGATAAAAAAATGGACTGATAAAATATACTTTGATAAAGCAAGAACATTTTGACCCTGCTTTCCAAGTTCTGTGTCATCTTGTTTTTCTTTTATAAAATAAGTGGTCATCCTGTTGTGATGGGACTGAGTAAGTAATCTATTGTGTTTTATTTTACTTCTAGAAAGGCAAAGGTGAAGGTTTAACCCAATCACTTGTGTCTGTACCAGGGCAGGTTATCTGAATCATGGGTTGTTCTTTGTCATGTAAAAATAAGGAGATGTGGTATGATTGTCAATGAGACACCTCTCCACAAGAGGACAAATGACACAGAAATTAACAACTATAGGTCACCTTATGGCCTTCAATAATGAGTAAAACACATACCGCATAGTCAGCTATAAAAAGCCCGAAATGACAAATGTAAAACAATTCAAATGAGAAAAATTAACGACCTAATTTATGTAGAAAATATTGAACGAAAAACAAATATGATATTTGTACTTCTTTTCCCCAAAAAATTTGTGTTAATTAGACATCACCTCAACAACAATAATAATCAGTTATAGTTTTCATTTCTGACAGAAGAAACAGCTGTCAAACATTTCCTTGAAGCACCCCAGATTCATTTATTTTCATGTATACCATTTTGTGAATACTGTTAATTCAGAAATTACTTGTGTGCATTTATTATTGCAATTTATGGAGAATTAACAAAAATGAGAGATTAAGGATGTTCACTACACTGTTTCAAAATAACAAGCTGTTTAAAAGACTATTATAAATTGATAGTACATAAATACAGGAACTAAAAAAGCAGAAAAAAATGAAGGGTCAGTGTGCTTGTTTTCAAGATATAAGCCACTGAAAATTTGGCGGGAACTGATTCTCTCTAGATTTTTCATATATTTAACATTGGCACCTTTTTTCTTCCAAAAACTATGAAAAAATAACAAGGATTATATAAGATTTTCAAAAATTGCTTTTTAAACAATATGTTATAAGATTATAAACATGATAAAAAG